TCCTCACGTGCATTGTCTGCTCCAGACAGTCTCTATGCAGCCACTCACTTCTTATTTTTTCTCCAGTGGGCTGGGATTATTCGCTGGCTGCCTCACACGTGGAATTTTTCACTTCCTACTCGCAGTGAAGACACAACTGCTGCAATCGGCTCGAAGAGGCTCACGGCAGAGGTTGCAGCATTTTTTTTGTGTGTTTCTACATGTGAAGCATGGTTAGGTAAGAGGTGTGTGTCTCTGTAAAAGAGCTGGAGACACAAACTGCCCCTGGACACAGGGCTGTCCTATCAGGAGCTAAACTGTTTTTTTTCGTAAACAGAAGGATTTCAAGAAAACTGTTGAAGGACAATGTGAGTGAGTACTGTTTTGTTACAGGAGAGAGGCAGGAATGTGAAACTCAAACTATCCAAGCCAAGATTTGTATCAAATTCTTGTCATTTTTGTCAGTGGAGTCTTTACCTGTAAGATATAACTGACTCTAAACTAATTGAAACTAACTAAGACTTAAGAGATTAACTAAATACTTAGATCTACTTAGAGTGAAAAGTAAAGTTACTTTTACAAATACAGATGATCCACTCGAGCTGCTGTATTTTCCAACTGGTCAAAGCAGGAAATCTGGACACTCCTGCTGTCCAGTTCCCCAGAGACCTACAAAGCATGTCAGCATCTGCTGCTCAACATTTTAGGTTTCAGGCCTCCATAATGTTTTCCTAACAAGCCTAAATGGAACCTTTATGAGATTATTTACAGCTTGGACCCAAGTGAAGATAAATAAATTAGCAAGAGGTCAGGCATGCAGGATTAGCATTAAAATCGCGGTTGAATTTTTGTCTAAAAAAACAAAACACAAGGCAGGTACATGCAGGTGGATACTTAAACCCTGAGGTAGCTGCAAACAGCTACTTTAAAGGAAAAAAATCACATGCCTATAAGGCAAAAAATGAGAAATAGGTAGTTATTATTATGTAATGTTTGTACTGAAGAATGCTGTCAACTACAGTGCATGAAAAATGGAAACCTACCTGAGTTGAGTGGTTCTGGATTCAGCACTGTCTCCATCTTCACCTGCAGGATCAGCTTCAGACTCGCCTACATTTTCTCTTACAACCTCTTCCAGTTCTGTGGCCACACATGGATCCTGGCCAACACCATTGCCCGGTTTTTCACATTTGGTCGAGGTATGAGGACTGAGGAGCAAATCGTACAGCTCTTTAGAACAGCCTCCATCTTTTCTGAGTAAAGAGAAAACCCAACTCTTGTCGTTGCAGATGCTTTAGCAGACACGTTCTACTCGGTGGGCTTCGTGATGAGTCTGTGCCAGCTCCTGTCCGTCCTGGAGCTGTTCCACATCGCTGATGGGATCGAGAAAGCCAGACTCCTTCCTCGCTTTGTTCAAGTGACCCTCATTCATCATTTAATCATTCATCTGTTTGTTAAGAAGCCGTGCATGACGTGGCTCTCTTTTTATTTTCAGGTGATGGAAAAGAATGTTCTGCTTATGATAGTTATCATGCTGGAGGATATCCAGAGTAAGCCGGTGGTGTGTTTGCAGCTCTTCTTGTGGAATATTCTGGACCTCTTACGGTACGCAGAAAGGCCATGACATTTCTTCTTATCATACAGCATTGGGAAAGCAGTGCAAAGGAAAGATTTTTTTTATGTTTCATTTCAAAATTGATACAAGAATGATACAAGTTATTGCAATTGTGAGAGGCCGGAGGATCTCTGAACTCACCAGTTGATTTCAATAGTGTAGGTTTTTAAAAGACTATGGTCATGAACAAACTTGCCTGGGCAACTTCCAAACTCACCGACAAGGCCCTAACCCTAACCCTAACCCTAACCCTAACCCTAACCCCAAGTACTCGTCATGGAGGGGAAAAGAGATCAAATTAAACCATACTGGTGAGATTAGAAGTCCCATGTTGCATTTCGTAGTAGTCAGCATCAAGAGTGGACATTATTTCAGGAAATTCAAAAACATGTTTTGCTCATTGAAAGACAATTCTGTCTTTTAAGTGCCAGGAGAAAGAAACTCTTCGCAAATGGAACTGTAAAATTATCAAATAACATGGGTCATAGTGTCTTTTGCTGATTTTTCTCATTAGCATAACCCAAAGAAAATGATTGGAAATTAAGAAATGAAGGATGGTGCTTGAAATTAGCAGGATATATCAGATAATTGAAGATGGAGTTTCACATTCAGTATGTAAATTACCGTAAGCATGCTACTAAAACAAGACTAACAAGGTTAAAGAGAAAAAACGTCAGCCATCTTTGATCGACAGTCAAAGCTCAGAGCTCTACTTTAGAATCTGCTGTGTTTAGACTCAAAGATTTCTAAACACTCTGTACCCATTCAGTGGTTCTGCATTGAAGAATGTACCACAACACATTTGTAAAGACTTTTGTTATTTCCTAGTTGGGCCAGTCGAAATGTTTGGTTACAACAAGAAAAAGGTCATAGTTATGGCCCATACACACCCTTTGTACAACCAGATTGTAAGACTTTTGTGCTGTTCTTCCCTGTTAAGGTTGACTCACAAACTCAAATTTGGTTCCAGTTGCAGATCATTTAAGAATGAGGAAAATTTAAAAGTACAATAAGCTTGTAAGATTAAACAATTCTTTGTAAGGAGCGACGGGGTCTGAAACGTCTCCATGCAACTTACATTTAAATGATTATTCCTCTGGTCAAAACAGTGAGATAGGTAGAAAAAACAGCCAGAGGATTGCAGAAAAATTTTACGAAAAGTTCAATTCCATGTTCTTAATTTCCTTGAAAAAAAACAAACAGATCCAACAAAAGACTGGATAAGAAAAATTCCCCAACATTTCACGGTGTTTGGTGTTCTAACAGGTACCCCCATGAGCTGCTGTGTGTTCTGGACACACCCTCCACCACCATGCTGTGGGTCCGCTACTCCCTTTGGATCCCTTTCTACGTCCTGTCAGCCACCACTGAGGGTAGGCCTGCACGATAACTGCCATCATTTTGTGAGTCAGGAATTCCTAGCCTGAGCGCTGCTTTTTGGGGGTACTGAGGAAATGAGCTGACACAGAACATGACATAGTAACAACTCAGGAAGTGTGAAAACACTTTCCAACTGAGTGTGTGCTGACCACTGTGGTGGAGCCCCAGGATATCATCAACACACACGCCTTATTCTCTACAAAGAAAATAAATAAATTGACCCGTTCAAAACATTACAACTGCTTTGAATGATAACACTGTAAAGTGTGAAGTAACTTGCTCCGTTTTAGCTGTGTTTCTCGTTCTGTTTCAGTTTTTACCATTTACCAGGCCCTACCTTACATCAGAGCTACAATGTCCCACCCCATGGACGTCCACCTGCCCTTAGCCCTGGTGCTCTACCTGTCCGCTCTGGCTCTGGGTAAGGGAAAGGAAAAGACCTGACCGGTCAAACAGGATTAAAATAACTGGATGTCACTTAAATGTCACAGAGTAGGAATCAGGTTACAGGGGTGCTTCTTGTGGTCAATTCTTGGTAAAGGTTCATTGGAAAGTGTTCTGGTGTGTAGCTGCCCGCTCATCACAGAGATTACGTCTGTCATCATTTGAAAATAAAGTGAAAATATCACAATTTTTTAACTATTTCTTGGCCTTAGCCCTTCATCCCAACACACATTTTTAATCCTGTTAAAAGAGGAGTCCCGGGCTTTATCTCATTTTCCAATTTGTACAGACTCACTTCCTCCCCCTCAACTTCCCCCGGCCTCCATCCCTGCCCCCCCCCAACCCGAGGAGAAATAGACAGGCGGGACAGGCTGTCCACAAGATAAGACAGAGCCATGTTAAACCGTTTCTTAATTCCATTTCAGCGCCTTATTCCAATATTTCCGTTTTACATGTCACATATTTACTGCTACTTTAGTTTAAGATGCAGATGGCATGCCACGTAGCGTTTACACGCTGTGGTTGCCAAAAAGACTTTTGGACACCAGGCTGCGTGCTCCTTATGACTTCTACAGAAAGCCGCTTCTCAGTGTACCAGGTGCAGTCTGGGAAATGAAATCATGAGTTTCTGGGACTCCGAAAAAGTCAGAATGTGTCCCAGAATCCCATAAAGCCCCAAAGAGTGAGGAGTAAGAGGGACTAGTTGACTGTGGCTGTTTGTGTGTGTGCGTCTACGCTACAAAATACACCACACACACACAACGAATTAAGTCATGTGGGAGTGACCCAGGGTTGGGGGAGTTTTTGGCCATATTATTTATTCATATTCATTCATTCATTCTTTAATAGTTTAAGACAGGTATGTCTTCCATCAGTTCCCTTTAAAAGACTGTACACTCATTACCGTGAGTCAAGATATAGTCAAGAGCTTTCTCAAAAGATACAATAGTGTACAGACCCTCTGAGTAGAGCACCCTGGATGTCCCAGAGTGTCAGTTTCACCATAGTGGACACTTTTGTTGTTTAATTATGGTCGATGTTCTACAGTACACCACCCAGAGAGGCAGGAAAGGAAAGCTTGGATTAGCGGGCATCCAGTGTTTGGATGAATATTGGCACAAAACATTATCTGCTCAACGAGATTTCAAATGAGCAGACAACTTTCTAAGAGTAGAAGTGTTTTTTTCCAGGGGCCTCAGTGACAGTCTGGCAGCTGCTGAAGGAGAGAAAACACCTACTGGACAAACGGAGCAAGAAGAAGAAGATAAAATAACAGGAATGGCCAAAGAATGAACTGTGAGCAGTTTGAGTCTTTCAGGAATGCAAACTATAATAAGATAATGTAACGATGTGTTGCAATTAAGAGCATTTTGAAGGAAAAAAAACACACAAAATCAACTTTGTTACAAAAGCATTATAAGTATCACCTTTAATGACAGACCAGACTTCTTATCAATACTTTTACTGACCAAATATGAGATACAGAGACTGTCCAGAAGCCCCCACTTCATTGTGTCCAACCAGCCGGGCCAGAAAGGACCCTCAGTGTGCGTCACCATGGCGACAGCACATTGTCCTTCCTCTACCAGCCATAAGCCCTGGTCCACACGGCTTTCTTCCTGAACTCAGCGGAGGACTTTAGGGCCAGGAGAGCAGCTGAAAGGACAGCAGACCGGTCAGCAGCTGGACCTCTGGGGCCTGTCCTGGAGGTTTATTTAACTGAAAATACTTTAATGATGTAAACACTCAGCAAAAAATGACACCTGCGGATCAACGTTCTAAACGTTAAATTAAAGGTTCATAATGGATGTGCACCTTTCTACCCGTGTGAATGCCAACTAAGTACTTTGTACTTTTTTTTCTTCTTCTTGTGTTTTATTGGAATCATAACATTGTGTCTTCCTGAGAAAGGCTCCATGGAAAAACCTTGGATTGTAACTGTAGAGAAAAGGGCTCGCAACAACTGCCTATCTGAAGAAATCTTGAAATAATACCTGAATGGTGCAGATTTCACACAATTCAAAGTCCCCATGTGGCAGTTTTTTTATGTAATCTATCCACCCATTGTCTAAACTGCTTATTCTGAGTAGGATCACAAAAGACCTGGAGCCTATTCCAGCTGGGCCAGTCCATGGATATGTTATTAGATCATGCTAAAAAAAACAAATCTATAATGCCTCTAGGACTATGCTGGAAAAAAGGAAAAAAAATCAACTTAAAGTTGCATTGTAGAACAACAACTAATAGCTTTGAATAAGTTTTAAATCATTTTTCGTGGCTTTATAACTAATTTTGTTTTCATTACTTTGGTATTAACCATTTATAACTGTTTATTCTTGTATTCATGACACTGATCAGATTTTTTTGGCTTGTTTATGTGTATCCTTGTAAGCTGCTTTGGATAAAAGAACACTCAGAAAATGTAAATGCGAATTTAAGCTTGTTGCAACCTCCAATTTGACCACAAGATGTCAGGAACTCCTGCATGCTGATGGCTGTGAGTGAGATGTTGTGTTACCTTTGGCTGTGTTGATGGTGGAGGGGGACAGATTCTGCTCAGGACCTTCTGTCACGCTGAGGAGCCAGTCAATAAACTAAAACACAACACACAGTTAGCACATGAGACCCATGACCCATCTCACATACAGTGGGGGAAATAAGTATTTGACCCCTTGCTGATTTTGCAGGTTTGCCCACCCACAAAGAATGCTTATTTTTCCTAATCAGATGGTTATCAATTTTTATAAATTCATATGATATGATTTTCAGGAATTTTCTTTGGGATTCTGTCTTTCACTGTTAGAATGTACATATGATTAAAGTTATAGATCGTTGCATTCTTTGTAAGTGGGCAAACCTGCAAAATCAGCAAGGGCTCAAATACTTATTTCCCCCTCTGTATATGGAATGATGCAAGAAAATAAGAGCTCGGCAGGCGGATGTTTGGTAGGAACCCTAACCTTGTGAGTCTGGGCGCTCCAGGGCTCTTTACCCAGCAGCAGGGGTAGGCTGTGGGACACGGCCAGCATGCACTGGGGCAGGGCCCCGTCCGGGAGCGACTCCTCAAAGTACAAACTGTGTGTTAATGACGCGGGCTTGGAGTCGGGCTTCCATGGAAACCACTGGGCCCTGAGGCCAAAGAGGAGGGGCATGGAGCGGTCACCCCAGGAAACTACAGCCGCGGCAAAGAGCTGGAACAGGAAGTCTGTGGCCTAGAGACAAAAGAGCAAATAGATCTTCAGCTTCTTTTGATCATATCTATTATCCTAACAGCACAGATCAAACAGGCATCAGCACATCAGACAGTCACTCAAGTAATGGCTGTTTCAAATCTAAATCCCTTAAATCCTGGTGCACATGCAGGCCCAAGCTGCTTTTACTGAGTTTAGCTAAAGCAGCAACCAGCCGTACATGAAGCTTCAGTAGTACATCCAACACCCACGTTAAGGCCAGTTCAACTGTCGGTTCAGTTGTTTGGTTACGGCTCACTAAACTATCAATCTTCAAAAATGAACCGATTAATGGTTAACTACTAAATTAGAGCACAGAGTAAAGAGAAAGATAACTTATGGATCCTAAAATCTAAAACAAGAAACTACATGTCAATTGTCTACTAACAATCTTTAAAACTGGAAACTTGTAGGAGTTTCAAAAATATATTATCAGAATGGCTCTGAATCTCCAATTATGCTACAGCATCTCCCCAAGTTACTCTGATGATGATGATGATGATGATATAGTAAACCACTGTCACACTGTTTGTGTTACTGTTACAGGATAGGACAATCCTCAAAGAAGTAAATGTAGACAATTAAGCATAATTATCTCATGGAAATGCAATTCCAGAATGAAAAAGATCAAATCTTTGTGACCTGGATCAGAACATCTAAAAACATATTGGAATCAAGACTAAACCAGCTCACATATAAGTGGACACGGGACATTATTATGTTCCCTGTTACTCAACAAAAACATTTTCCTGGAACAATCCGGTGTACTACTGTAATCATGCAGTGTGTTTTCTGAAATACAGATCCTAAATCTTCCTGAGCTCTTCAACTGGGCTGAGACACGGTGCATGTCATTTGTCATTCTCATCAAATCAGCCACCCTCCTGCTTTATCAACTGTCTAGCTGGATATGGACCCAAATAAAAATAAATATATTTCAAATTTTTTTTACAGATAGAATCTAATAGCTGAAAGCTGCACATTTGGAGTATTCTAAATTGATCAAATCCGCTGTATTTGAATGATTTTGCTGGAACACACTCAGTTCTTGACACATTGGTTTATTTGGCCTCTCCATGCCTTACATTTACGTTCCCTGCTTCACATGCATGGGTCATTATTAGACCTTCAGCTGGCCAGTTTACTTAAAACAGGAGTGTTCACACAGTCATATGTTGAGTCAACACCGTCTAGTGGCAACAAAACTGATTTTGGGGGGGATTCTATTATGGCTCAGAAACATACCAGCCTGGTGTCTCCACAGGCCACGGGGGTCGCTCCGTAGGCAACGTTCCGGATGTGTCCCATCAGCTCCAGGAGCCACTCCATCTGTTTGGAGACACCTGGAGAACACACACACACACACACATCGTCTGTAATGACATTTAAAGATGAGTTCTTTGATCCTGTGTTAAAAAGGAGCACAACAAAATTTTTAAAGATTGAAGTCAGTGGCTTAATTTTCTTGCATAGCTTAGGAGCCTATTAGGAGGAATCCTGAAGGCCTTTTCAGCGGTTTCTGGGTTGACCTGTGTTGGGGCCGGCAGCCAGACCGGACTGGTAAAAGGTCAGCAGGAGGAGCCAGCCTACTCTGCGGCTGGGCCAGCCACGCAGCACCCCCGCGATGACATCGTTCAGACTCAGAAGGGGGAGCCTGCCCTGAGAGGTGAGGTAGGACAGGAGGAAGCAGGTCTTTTCCATCTGAGCCTAAACAGGAAACAGATAATGTCCACAAATGAATCTGAAGTTAAATACAGGGAGATCACCTCACATTGGAATAGAAACACAAAATCCCAGTAAAATACAGCATGTACTGTACAGAGATTTGTCTGAGTTCAGGTGTACCTCTGAAACCTGAACGATCCTGTCGATTTCTGTGTCCGACATCTCAGACAGACACTTGGCGACGCCCACATACAGATCCACCTCTGCATCCTGAAACAAACACGCCTTGGATGAGCTGGAGACCATAACTTAGACCACAGGATGCTGGTAAAATGCTGATAAAATGTCAGGCTGAGCTCTACTTTAGGGGGGAGGGGGGCTGTACTAGAGGATGACACGGGAGTGGATTTTCACTCCCGTCCCGTCCCACTCCCAGACCAAAGTTTAAAAAATAATCCCATCCCATCCCGCTCCTGTTTAAACTGACTCCCGCTCCTGTACCGCTCCCATATATTTTTTTTCTTCAATTAGTGTTTAGTCTTACAAGCAGCGTACATTGTGCTAGCACCGTCACATTCTACTCTCATAAACTTTTATAATATTTCAGACTGTCCGACCAGTTCTGTGAACTTAATAGACATGTCATTACTTCTGACTTTCCGCTGTAAATCATTTTTTGCCACATCGACTTCTCCGCGGCTGTTAGCTCCCTCCATCACTGCTCTTTGAATTCCGGCGGTAAGCCGTGACAAAAAGCCCTGATGGCTTCTGGGACGGCTGGGTCATGTAGTTATTTTTTAATTGCGTTACATTGTAGGCATAAAGGAAACTACAAAATGGTGCATTTACTTTTTTTTTTTTTCGTCTTTGCTATTGGTTGATTCCCGCTCCCGTCTGCTCCCGTTAACCATTTATCCCGTACCGCCCAAATCCCGTGATTAATAGCAAAGATGACTCCCATCCCGCAGGAATCCCACGGGAATCCCGTGACCCGTGGGATTCCCGAAAAAATGTCAGCCTCTAGGCCAGTGTTTTTCAACCTTTTTTGAGCCAAGGTACAGTTTTTCATTGAAAAAATCTCTAGGCACACCACCAACCAAAAATGTCAAACAACTCTGTATCCGCCTATAGTAACACTATAGTTATTATTATCTTCTTAAGTGTCTTGAATAGGAATCAAATAAACACAAAAATGTATTTTTATCATATTTTATATTTCTTCTTTCAAATTGCTCTTAACATGTCCACTTCAATATACAAAATTATATACAAAATCTAGTCATAAGGAATTATTACATGATTACTCCACCAGTCACTAGAACAGCAAACACACTCAGAAATGGAATATTATTTACAGAAAATTATCAAAATTTTGGTGAAATAGGATGATTTTCTACGGCACACCTGGCCATCACTCACGGCACACTAGTGTACCGAGGCACGGTGGTTGAAAAACACTGCCCTAGGCTGTACCTGGAGGCTGTCGGGCAGCAGGGCGTAGATCTTCTCCGTGGTGGAGCAGAGGATGGTCCAGCAGCTGCTGGGGGGGTTTGGCAGGGCCATGGCCTGAGCCAGACCCTGCAGCAGTGAGCGGCACAGAGCCGGGCGCTGGGGGCGCAGGTCCTGCTGGAAGTGCTGCAGGCCCAGGCTCTCCACGCACACCTGCAGCTTGTCCTCGGACACGTGCCTCATCCATGAGCCCAGGCTCTCGTAGAGGTGGGCTCGGGTCCGGGGCTGTGGCGTAGGAAGGGAGGATTCATTTTTTCTACGTTCAGTCTGCAGGAGTTCAGCTGTGGTGCGCCGTGTGGAAACATAGCTGTGAGCCAGGATATTTCTAGCATTCCTGAAATGCCTTTATAATTTTGACACATGGTTTTTCCACATTTGGTTACAGCCCTTTTTCTAAAATGGATGAAATACATCTTTGCCCCCAAAAGTCTACACACAAAGGTATCTTTGAGTTCTTGGAACGGGCCATAGAGAGGATACGGTCTAATACCTCTTTTTTGTCTGGTGTCACATCTGGGTCAGGATTTCTTTTTTCCATTTAAAAACTTTAAATAAAGGGGCACAAATAAATGTACAGTAACACATGTGTGCTGGTTGTGAAATGCAAAGTCTTAACTTGTAGAAACCATTTAAATATTGAACCATTTAAATATTTTTGATGGCATGAACTGTTGTGTAGTCTGACAGACAAGTTACACAAGATGCCCTCGGGAAGAGTTTTTCCCAAAAGTCCCAAAAGGATTCTAGGAACATGAAATACAATTCTCTGGTCTGATGAGACTGAAATGGACCAATTTGGCATGAATGTCGGGTGTCATGTTGGAAAGAGCCCAGACTTAAATCTGAGTGGTGCAGGGATAATCATCTCCTCACTGTCACCAAAACCAAAGAACTCGTTCTTGATAACTGTAAAAAAAAACACACTCCCCAGTTGGTAAAGTTTGACAAAGAGAAATGTGTGAAACTGCCCAAAGATAGGGTGTATCAAGCTTGTGGCATCATAATCAAGATGATTGGGGCTTTAATTGCTGAAAAAGTTGCATGAGCAAAGCCTGTGAATACTTATGTCTGTGTAATTTCCTTTTATCTCAAATAGATCTTTATAAAATCTATTCATTTCTTTGTGTTGTCATTATAGGGTTTTGTGTGTAGAGTTTTGAGGAAATAAATCAGTTTATTTCTCTTCTGGAATAAGAGATTCTGTGAATAGTTTCCGGATGCACTGTGTACATCAATCTGAATAACTAGTAATGAACTCTGTTCTTAAAGATTTTTTTGAAAAGGAGCTTACACTGACACTGTGTACAAGGGGGGGTGACACCCAGGAGCCCAGGAAGAGAGAGGCGTTTTTGGAAGACTGAGCTTGAGATGCTGCCAGCACCATACACTGATGCTGGACATCCTCTCCTGTCAGACATTATAAGAGGGGGGGGGGCACAGAAAAACCAACAATTTAGCAGTATTAACAGTGTTTTACAGCATTTGTCCTTTCTTACAATGTGGGATTGCTCTTACCGAAGCTCAGCCTCATCAGAGGAGATAAGACAGCGCTCCAGTTTAGGGGGGGGGTACTGGAAACTGCCTCCAACCGATGCCAAGGAGGCCAGAGCTGTCTTAACCACGGCTGGATGGGAAAACTCTGGACCTGGGTCCGTGGGGAAATAAGATTATCTGTCGTGCTTTGCTGTTTGTAAGATAGATTGGTTTTCATATTCACAAACCTTTCTTTCCAGCCTCTATGAGAAAGTCTGTGATGGACCTGATGACACTTTTCTCTGAGAGGTAACTGAAATCCTGAGGAACTGAGGAGATAGCAAGAAGAATCATGTGAGGTGAATCTAAAAGAACTAATGCGACTTACACAAATAACTACAAGAAACATAGCTTTTTCTCAGCTCACTGTTGGTGGATAACTAATATTTGCACACATTGTTGCGAAAGTGCTATCCATCATCAATCAGCTTAATGATGGATACACATATATATACACATATAGTTTTTTATGTATATATCTAGCTATATTATATGAGGAATTTTGTATATATATGTATATATGTACAGACATGTATATATGTATATGCCTTTGTTTTACTTATGGAGCCTGTAACAAAAATAATTTCCCTCTGGGATTATTAAAGTATTTCTGATTCTGATTCTGATTCTGAATCCTAATTTCCAGAGTGTGTGGACACACACCTGCTGTATGACTGTGACTTGTGGACATGTGCGCCAAATACAAATGGCCCATCAAACAGGCACTGTTGGACTGCAAACCAATGGCCCCGGAATAGGTTACTATCTGCAACAGAAAGCATAAACACCCTCATCACGCTCTGGCTTATATGAAAGCAAAGTCAGCGATTAACAGCAACCAAAGAACAGTCCCCCGGTTTAGGACAATGAGAAGGGAGGAGCTTAACTCTTACCTGTGTGATGGCACGAATAACCTCGTTCAGTCTGCTCTGCTGCTGGGTGGAGAGCTCCAGCTCACTCTTCAGCTGCCGAAACACAGAAAAGGTTTAGGGCCTGATTTCTCTATTTTATAAAAAAACAAAAACAGAACACTGCACTAACAGGAACAGCTACAGGAAAAAAACAGCTTGTTTTTGTCCCATAGGGGATGAATACTCTCATTACTATTACAACAAAACTATTTCTTGCTAACAGCAAAGCACAGACAGATAACGGATTAATAAATACACCTGCAGTCCCCCGTGAGCCCACTGAATAAAAATGCTAATCCAAGGACTAAAGATCCAGAAACACTACCAATATACCTCCCACACTGTGAGCAAAGCTTTTACCTGAACGAGGTAACTCTCTGATCCCACCAGAGCCACCAGCCCATTGGCAGCAGCCAGCCGCTGCATGGTGGGACACCCCTGAAACAGAGACAGCCCGTCTGCTCACTGTGGGACTCTGAACAAGTAGAAACACAGCAACCCACACGCCGACGGGGCCGAGACGATGGCACGATCAAAAAACAAAGAAAACAACGTGTTGTGGTACCTCGGCCAGCAGGATCTTGATCCAAGCGGCCAGCAGGCGAGGGTGGATGTCCTCGGCTTTACCGTGGCCACTCACCGACAGGCCGTGGATGACCAGGCCCAGGGCCAGAGAGAAGCCCGGGGTCTGGGGACAGCGGGGACACGTCAGAATGACAACTTTTCAAACCCTAGTATGGAGGTTCAGTAATGTGCCAATTGCAAAGCAAAGACTTCCTAAGCTGGAGGTTTAGAAGTTTTTAGGCAAGAAAAAATACTTCATTTGATGAGCAGAAATAAGCTGACACTATGATGGAGAATTTCTCATTTAAAAAGAGGAATTGTGGCTGGAGGAACTGGTAAGGCTCTCTCATTTGGAAAGAGTACGGTGCTCATTAGCAAATAACTTAAAGCGATTCAACAGAACTTTAGCAATATATTAATAACCCTATTTGAAGAGTATTTGTTTTGGTTATCGGTGTGATCAGATGTAAGTCCCAGGAAAAGGGGAGGAGGGTGGGTTGGGGGAGGTGATTGGGTCTTGAGAATGTCCTTATTTATGTCACTTTTGTTTTGTTTTAATTTTGTATTGTCTTTATGTTTTATGTTCACATAAATTTAAAAAAAGAGAACAAACATGTATCGTTCAGGTTGTAATTCTCATGTCTGATTTCTCAATAAAACAGTTTGACAATAAAAAAAGAGAAAAACAACTTGGTTTTTACAAAGCTAGGTCAGGCAGCTAGAAAGAGATAAAGTAAGATAAAGTAAGATGAATTAGTGGTGACTAACTCCCCCTGACCTGCTGGCTCTCCTCCGTCAGCGTGCGCACACTGTTCATGAGCTCTTCAGCCTTGTCGGCGTCAATAAGACCTCCACTGAAGGCGGAGACGCCCACACATGCCACGGAGTAGGACAAGACCTGAAGAGGTAGAGACAAAGAAAGCTGTTGACGCATCACAAAATGTCAGGGCACGGGAGACCTTCTGTTGGAGTTTGGCTTCTCTTAAAGGTCCCTCGGAAAATTGTTCTTCCAATAGAGTCAGGACTCCATTAAGCATACCAAATGCAATATTTTGAGGGTTGATAAACAAAAACAGGTGCCACACTGGTAAGGTATTTTAAAAGAAGTTAAAAAAAAACACATTATTAGTAGGCAAAAAAATAAGACATACAATAATAAAAGCATTTTGATGCCCACATTGACTTGACCAGGTCAAGACTACAGACAGTAAAACAGATGAGTGAAAAGAGTTAAACCAGTTTCAGACTGACATTGAAACATGAACAATTATAACCAATACAAATATATGAAGAAACAATAACTAATCACACCATCAATCGCCTAATTTACATTGTATTTATTTACCGATGACTTCCTGGAGGCAGGAGTTGGATATATGAACATTGTTTTCTAATTGGGACTTGATGCTAGAACTTTCCTGCAGTGTCAGTGAGCTTAATTAAGGTTACGCTGACAGCTCTAGGACCAGATTTAAGGGAGGCATTAAAGGTGTGTATTGGAATCGGTGGATCGAAATTGAGGCCAATCTCAGAGCAGCTGCTGATAATGATCTGAAATTCAGGAGCACAGAAAGATTAAGAAAGCTTAACCGCTGGCTGTGTGCCTGCTAACTAATGCAGCGTTAGTAAAAGGTAGAGGAGTTTATGAAGACTGCACAACCTACTTGGCTTTCGCAGCTTCTGCAGTATGTTAAAATATTGAAAGGAAGTTGACTTTGAGTAAATGGCTTTGTTACTAAGGCTTTAAAGCCTTACAGGTCAACAAACGGAGACTAGCTGCTCATGATCTTTGGTGCTGGGCTGCTGTACCTCTTGCAGCATGCGTCCTTGCCCGCTGCTGTCCTGCAGGCTGGCCAGTAGTTTGTCGAGGGTTTGGGTCACTCGGCTTTGGTCCATCTGTCCACTTGTGCAAAGTGACGAGAGCACCAGACCCAGACCCAACATGCAGCCAGTGCTGGGAAAAAGCAGAGAACCTTATCTTATTGGCCATATCATGGAGAAATCCAATCCAAAAGAAATCAGATTCCCTCAATTTTTTATTGAAAGGTGACGAACAACAAGTTTATATTCAGTTCCACAATGAAAGAAGTCATTCATACAGGTTTTGAGATAATGTCCAGTACAGATTACTGACTTGTATTCCAAGTTAGGGTTGAATGAGCAATTTTCCAGAGCTTCAAGAGAGCTGATGAGCAGCTCAGAGTCATGAGCAGAGACGTCACTGAGAAACACAAACAGATGGACAATCAGTGTTGATTCCCGGCCGCTTTCATAATCCCTCATTTCCCTTTTTCTTATATGGTACCATGATCTCACGGTTTTTAAACAGGAAAAGAAACATCTCAATAGTCTCATTTTGGGATCAGTCTCTGACGGAGGGCTCTTGTTGCTGACCTGAGGCGTTGCTGGTGCAGACTGGACAGCACCATGCCCAGCGCCAGGCCCGAGTGGAACTGGACGGCCTGCGAGTCGTCGGCGGTGGCCGAGCCGGGCAGGCCGGCCCGCAGCGCGGTCAGCACCTGGACCAGACCGTCCCTCCGCCACACCACCAGCACGGGCACCAGCAGGGCCAGGGCCAGGCCGGCGCAGGAGCGGGCGATGGCGCTGGCCGTGTTCTCGCCTGAGTACGAGCGCTGCGGGGACAGAGAGGGGTTACCTGGACCTGCTGACCATCGCAAGCTGGACGGGCTGCTGACCAATTCTGTCCTGCTGAGCCTAGCTCACTGAATAAGTGGAAACAACATGCCTACAAAGACTAATGCCTTACTGCATGTTTCTTTTCAGTTAAATCCAGCCAGCCAGCCCGATATTCTACCAAAGGTCAAAGGTTTGGACAGATCTTCTCATTTAAAATGTTTGAAAAGTGTGTTCAAATGGTTGACAGGGAAGCAAAAGCTTTAAATGGAAATGATAGCTTTTGAAATGAAATATAGTTAGCATACATGGGCACATTTTGAATGGAAACATGCTGAAACCTAATTAAATTCCTTTTTCCTGCTACGTAGTGATGTCACAGGCAGGTATTTGACACATTCAAAAGTAACAATTTAACCAGGGAAACTCAAATCCTAAAAGTCAAACCATATTGTGAATAATTCAGAAAGTGAGAGCTATTTTCTTCACAGCAGATGCAAATAAAGATGATTAACTCATTGACTGGCAGCCATTTTCAGAACAGAGTCCCATACTGCCAGAGTTTTCTGAGCATTTTGACTGATTTTTCAAGAGCCACAGAATAGTTTGTGCTATGACTATGTAAACACCGAACACACCAAAAGAAAGAGTAGACTCTCTTCCTTCATCAGGAAAAAAAATGTGTTTCTACCTTATTCCGTTCTTCCTGGACTTGCGTCTCACCGGCGACATGTTCTCTCATAGAACCGTTCCCTTTTTCTTATTTGCCTACAGTTTATGCTCATCTCCCATCAAAAGTGGCACTGCCCCCTAGAGGGTCAATTTGTTACTACATACTCTGTCTAGAAGCCCATATTTACGGACAAGCTTTAGCAGATCGTCCCCCAGACACTCTCGTTAAAAACATAAAAGACCTCTGTAGACATCTTTGGCAGTCAACGGTTGTATTTGAATTGACGTCTATAGACGTCTTTGGCAGCCAATGAGTTAAAAGTCTCAACTCCCACCCAGTGTAAATGTTGGTTATCATTTCCCATGATGCTGTGCGTACTTCAGGTAGTTTTGCTGCCTAAATAAGGGTGCGGAGGCTGTGACAGAGTCAGTTAGAATGCTCAGAGGGAAACTTACGTGCGGGAACCAGGGAAACACCTGTCCTTTGGCCTTGTAGCTGCTGCTGATGATGCTGAGCAAAGTGTCAAACACCATGCCCAACCAGCTGGCCGTGGGCACAAACTCTGGTCCAGCCTACAAAGACAGAGCCACATTCTCAAAGCTTTGTATGGGTTCTAAACACAGCGTGCAGAGGGGGTTCAGGTTTAACTCATGGGTCAGGTCTCACCCTGGTCACAAACTTTTGGAAACCCTCCCCTTTGGCAGAAGGTTGAGAACCATCAGGACCAAAACCTCACGCCATAAAGAAAGTTTTTATCCAGCAGCAACTGGCCTCATCAACGAGGCCAGTGGCCCCCACCTATTCTTCTCTCACCCCCCTCTACCCCACTAATTTACCCAATACTACGTTCAACTTTTTCTGGTTTGTCGTTGGACATTCAATATCTTATTTTATTATTTATTATTATTATTATTATTATTTATTTTATTTTATTCTATATTTTTATATTTTTATTTCTACATTGTATGTCGTTTCTTGTTCTCATAGAAGTGTTGTGCACCTAACACCAAATCAAATTCCTTGTAGGTGAAAAACCTACTTGGCAATAAACCTAATTCTTATTCTGATTCTGATTCTGATATTCATTATATTAGAACTAAATATTTATAAATCTATCTAACACATACACATCCATATATGTATATGGATGTACATTGCCGTATAGTTAAAGCGTCTTACTCCGAGGCTCCCGCTGCTATCGGTCGGCAGGTTGCTCTCGTACTTAGCCAGGACAGCAGCCAGGCCACTCAGAGCCAGGATGGAGTTCCCCTGGACAACAGGACTTTCTCTAAGGACCAGAAAAACCACGCAGGAATGAGACCATTTAGAATTCTTCTGCTCCAGCTGTGCACCGGTTCGTGCATTACACAGTCCTTCACGATTACTGTGGAACTACACAACCCTCATTATGAGCAATGGACTCACTTTGTAGCAGCTTTGATAACATCTGTCAGCTGATCTCTGGCCCTGAGATGGACAGCAAGACAAAGAAGACAAAAACAAGCCTTTCATGTCAGAGGAGAGCATTGATCACCTGCTTACACAGCAGATGTGTGCTAATAAGCAAAACATAACCACCTAAACCAAGTTATGGTGGGGTTGTACACAATGATAAACTTTTTTTCATATTTTGTTGCTAAAGTTTCTTTTGTTAAGTTGTATAAACAGAAAGGAATAGACTACACGTCCAGTTATGAGGCCACAGATAGCTTAATCAATAGTTGTTCTTGTCCAGATGTGAGCTTCTCACCACAGCCAGGCACAGTGCTGCTGGTACTGCACCTCCTGAGGGTTCTCTTTGCCTTGTTTCTGCTGCATTTCCAAGTCGGCGCGTCGACCCTGAAGACAAACGGGTGTAAACATTTCAGCATCTTGCTAAAAGACGCAGACACAACACAAAATAAGCGGTTTCCGTTTGGCTGCGGTATTGCGATACAGATCTTCAGTTTGCCTGAAAAGGTCCCACTGGCTATGACAGAAGCCATAAAAGAAGCCAGAGCAAAAACTAAGTCCTCAGTACATGTTCCCGATTTGTCGGCTGCATCTGACCCAGTCAGTTATGACTTCCTTCTGTCTGGACTCTCAGCATGGCCATCACAGGGAGAGCACACCTGGTTTGAATCCTACCTCACTGCTCCATCATTCAAAGTATCCTGGCTCGGTCATACTGCTGCCCACCACCCGGTCACAGGGGTCCCACAGGGTGGAGTTCTGGGACCTCGTCTCTTTGCCATTCACACCACCTCACTGGGCCAGGCCACATGGCTTCTCGTACCACTGCTATGCTAACGAATCCCAGCTCAATTTGTCATTCCACCTGACGACCACACGGTCTCAGCTCTTATCTCAGACTGACACATGAAAATGGATGAAAGCCCATCACCTCCAACTGAGTCCATCAAAAACCGGACTGCTTTTCTGTCCAGCCAACCCAACCATAAACCTCAGGGTTCACATCCAAACTAAATCTCTGTCTCTATCTCCATCAAAGGCGGTCAGAAACTTGGGTGCCATGACTGATGACCAGCTGACCTTTAAAGATGAAAGGCTCATCTCCTCAGCAGGATGATAACGACATATTAATATGAATCAGGTGTGCTGGAACTGGGAAACGTGGAAAACCTGCGGGACTGTGGGCCCTGAGGACCAGGGCGGGGAAACCCCGGTCTAGCAGTGCCTACACCACGCTTAAGACGATCCAGACTCTTTTCAGATGACGCTCCCTGATGATGGAATGACCTGCCAAGCGCTACGAGATCAGGGGCGTCCCTAAATCTTCAGGAAACTCATGAAGACCGAACTCCTCAAAGAGCATCTCCTCCCCTAACCCTAACCCTGTACCCCCCCACCCATCTACCACTCTTTCTGTACTTCCCTCTATATCTACACTGTCCCCATGTGGCCTCTAGCAGACTCTGACCAGTGATTTCCTTTCCATGTAGCTTATTGTCAGGTTGATGCTGACTGTAATGTTGAGTCTGCATTCTAAGTTGTTTAGAAAAAAAGCGTCTGCTAAACGCAGAAACGTAAACTAATACATTACATTTTTGCTTTTTAAAAAACGTGAGTACTTTAAAGTAGAAGCAATAAGACACATTAATGGCTGAGTTTGTTGATCATATGTATTTAAAAACTTTTAAAAAATATATATATAAATATAATGAAAACATTTGCTGAGCAGCAGAAAAAAAGATTTAAAAGGGGCAATTTAACTCCGAAATTAGCTATTTTAATGGGATTTTGACCTAACAAAGTAAAGGGAATGTATAGTGCTTGACTAAAATGCTATAATAACACTATAACAATAAGAATATTATCATGTGACCGAAAAAGTCAAGTTTGAAGGTTGAAGCGGGTCCAAACATTTGGTTGATGCTTCCAGTGAGAAATAGTTCAGTTGTGTTTTTTCGTTAAGTTTTTGAATTTTTGAATAAAACACAAACCTGCAGGACGGCGTGGAAAGCCCGGCTCATGTAAGCCCTCCAGGCCTGGGGCAGCAGGAGGGCCCGGTGCCACTCTGAGGGCTGGATGTTCACCTACACGCCACACAGAGTGGAGTTAAAGTATCTGGTTTATTTCTCTAATGGAGAATGCACCAAAGAGAGGAGCTATGGAAGCCGTACTTCGTGGACGAGGGCGGTCAGGGTCTGCTGGTAGCTGCGGCTTCTGCTGACCAGAAAGCGATCGATCGGCCTGCCGTCACGGTCCGTCTGAACAGGAAGCTCATAACACAGCAGCAGTCCAGCTGAAAGGCGAACACTTCTGTGAACATTTCTTATTATAATGAGCATGAAGATTAAGTTTATGTGGTCTTTGGGCCACTTTAACTGCCCTCTGTGACCCTGCTAACAAAAAATAAACCACAAACACATTGCTTATGTCCATTAATTCAGTAGACCTTTTAAAATACAATAAAAAAAATACATGTGATTAACTCATTGACTGGCAGCCATTTTCAGAACAGAGTCCCATACTGCCAGAGTTTTTTGAGCATTTTGACTGATTTTTCTAGAGCCACAGAATAGTTTGTGCTATGACTATGTAAACACCGAACACACCAAAAGAAAGAGTAGACTCTCTTCTTTCATCAGGAAAAAAAATGTGTTTCTACCTTATTCCGTTCTTCCTGGACTTGCGTCTCACCGGCGACATGTTCTCTCATAGAACCGTTAGCTTTTTCTTATTTGCCTACAGTCTATGCTCATCTCCCATCAAAAGTGGCACTGCCACTTAGAGGGTCAATTTGTTACTACATACTCTGTCTAGAAGCCCATATTTACGGACAAGCTTTAGCAGATCGTCCCCCAGCCACTCGCGTTGAAAAACATAAAAGATGTCTATAGACATATTTGGCAGTCAACAGTTGTATTTGAATTGACGTCTATAGACGTCTTTGGCAGCCAATGAGTGAATCTATCTTTTTAAAGCTTTAGAAACTGTTTACTGAATTAAGAATTGCATTCCTGGCAACATTGCCTCTTACTCTCCAGCCATTAAAACTGGAATGCTCCTGAGGTTTGTTTCAGGTTGGCTGTCAATCAGAGAAACATGTTTTTGTCGCTCAGCTTCCTGCAATAACTCCACCAATAACATAAAACAAACAGCTAAAGTCTAAAGAAGAAAAACCAAGAGCAGGATAAACCTTCCACAGGCATAACGGAGGTAGATGTGCTCACCTGCTAGCCCAGGCTTCAGGCCAGGCTGCTTGTTTTTCTCGTAGGTCTTGAGCATGAACGACGGGATTCCAGCCACCGTTTTACCCTGATCGGACCGCAGACCGCCCCCCCTCAGGGCCGAGAAGTACACCCCCCGTGGCATCAGACTCATCTCCTGTTTCACCAAGGATGTCAGGAAGAGCTCAAAGGCTGAAAGGACAAAAGTGAAAATGAGATACTTGAAAAAGGAATTATCTCAAGAGAAATGCATTAGTTCAATATGCATGACAAAACCTGCTAGATGAAATACCTGTCCTCGCCGGAGGCATTGTGCTGGAGACTGTACCCCTTTAAGAAGCCATTGACCAACATGATGAACACACAAGCTTAATATACCTGGCAGAACAGAAACGGAGGTGAGTGCCATCAGTTTCATGTAAGATGAGCCTGGAATGGAGAGATCCTTCTCCTTCTCCTCCTCCTCCTCCTCCTCCTTCTTTTCATCCTTCTCCTCATTTTCGTGGATCTCCGTGGCTGGTCTGGCCTACAGGGCAAACAGAGAAACGGAAACAGAAACGGATGATTTATGGAGACAGTTTTAATTGAAAGCTAAACCCTAAAGGAACATTACATTACCGCCTGCAATGGATCATTAAGAAACATTAGGATTAAAAAGGAACAGAACCGCGAAAGAAAAATCTCTTTTGAATGCTTGGCAGCCAGTCTTTAAGACAACCGTGTCACTGAAAACAGAACTTCTATTTTATACGATTTGCTTAGAAAATAACTCAATACATTTTAAGACTAAAGGCTACGTTTTGGGGAGTGGAGCAGGGTTCTTACCGCAGCAGGAAGGTGAGGTATAGTGTGAACCGTTTCAGGAAAGCCTGCCAAGGCCTTGTAGCCACAGCTGGACACATCAGGATCCTGTTCCAGAAAACGCACAGTCAGCATGTTTGGTATTTAAAGCATAACTAGAAGATATGAACATGAGGCGCCAGCACACTGGAAGATTTAGAAGCTGCTCCACACGCTTTATTCTGTGAGTTCTGAGCAAAAATCTGAAGCTGTGTTCATTTCTATGTGTTGAGTGGAGCTTTACGGAATAACTGGGTGAGTTGTGATTAATTGTGAGAGTTTTGTTTTTGTAGTTTTTATCTTCCTGTCTATTTTAAAAAGTTTTAAAAAAAAGGAGCTGTTTGTAAAAAAACAGCAAATAGGAACTCCTCAGTTGGGCAGAATTTGAGACGGAGTTCACACCTTTACACACAGGTACAGGTGCCCGATTTAAAAAAGTTATGTATGTGTGAATGTTTTAGTAGAGATCCTACACAGTCTTTTAGAACCGAGACCCCAGCTCTTCAGCATACAGACCTTGCTTGAAGCATAACTCCAGAGGAAACTGACCACTTCATCTTTCAGTTTCTACGAGAAAAATACAGATACAAGATAAAATGATCCCTCTTTAATCACGACAGAGTTTTAGTTTAGAGAGTTCAAACACATTTATTAAGGGTTTTTTCAACTACTGAAGGAAGGAAAGATTCTACCACAATTAGTTTTAGGTCTAGCCAAGCCTTTAGTAGTGAACAGTCTTTTAATGGTAGGCATTACAGTAATACTACTGAATAAAATTATCAATACATTTGATTTAGTAACTGAGTAGCTGAGTTGTAGCTGAGTTTTGCCTGAGCAGTCATCTACTGAATGCCCTTACACTGTAGGCCATAGAGTTCTATCCTTATGGATCTTTTAATGATTATCAGAGTAAACATTTGCCTTTTAACCAATATTATTCTCTCAAGTCAAAGTCAGACGGTCAGGAAGATGATAAATGATAAGTAAGTGAAAGCACTACTATGATAAATCACATTAGGTACCTCATACTCCTCTGACTTGACGGTGAGCTGAGGGACCAGGGCCAGGAGCTCCGCTATGGCTTTAACCATCAGTGGACGAGAGTCGCCGCTCAGCTCTGGACCCAGACTTTTCCAGGTGGAGATTATGTCCACAACCTGTCAGAAAGGCCGAGCTCAAACTCAGTGGAACAGAAACACCTTGACTGAATCACCTCGGATTAAACCAAAACATTTCCCCATGGGAATCAAATGAGCTCGCTCATGTGAAAGACCACAGAGTTAAAGCCTTTTGAAAACACAAACGCTTGATAATGGTGGGATGGATTGCAGTACCTCTGCTCGGCACAGCTCCTGTAAGCCCTGTAGGGCTAAGGCAGCCGGGGTTGCCAGGTCTGGTTTGCTGCACTGCTTCAGGGTGAGGGAAATCGCAGCCAACATGTCCCCTCCATGCTGGTACGGCCTGACACGCACACACACACACACACACACATACACACAATTCTTACTGAGATAACTAATAAGGAGGCAGAAAAAGAGTCTCACATGTCTTTGACAGTGGCATTCTCTGCTAGAGAACAGCCTGTTTAGCGACATTACAGCAAAGGTCCTCATGGTTAGTTTAGTCGTTTTATCTTTCATTTCATCTTTCTTTACTCTTTTCTTTTAGCCAGCTGTCGAGTCGCCTGTCTATCGTGTCATAGCCTACATATTAACACATCTCCACTTTATCTGATGCTTTATGGTCAACCAAGTTTTCCATCTTTTCACTGTTACCTTTTGCTAGTTGAATAATTTTGTCTCACAGGGTAATTCCACAATGAGCACCAAAGCGGGAATTCTTCCCCACAAACTTAAGACTGATATCGTAATAACTCATTCTAACAAGTGTGAGCAGAGAGAAGTCGGTTTATGACCCAATTTTCCACAGACAGCCCAGCCCCTAGACTTGTGCTAGAGTTGCTAGAACACATCTCTTGTCATTTGAACGGTAGACAGTATTATCTACTGCTTCTTTCTGTGACTTAGTTATGCCAGAAAACAGCATCAAGAAGACAAACAGCACTATAAAGATTCTGCGTGTGCTTTGCTGTTACCGGCAGGACGGACTGTTACCCATGGAGTAGCTTTTCTGATAATCTCTGTCTAACACTCCCAACCCAACAGAGGATCAGAAAACAGATGACTGTTTGAGTGAAAGAGGTGGGGGTTATGACACCAGTCACTCTCTGAAAAAGTTGTAAAATTCTTCAAATTCACATGGCAACTCAAAGAAAGAAAGACCATATTTGAAATAGTTGCTATAAAGTTGCAGAGGATGCAACTTCATTATGTCTGACAGTTGCTAAGAAAGAAAGAGTAGCTAGAACCCCTTCTTTTGGATTAGAAATATCTAAAACAGGCCTACTATTGTGGGTTTCCAATGCTAGGCTATACAGTAAGGCAGGCTTTATTTTGGTGAGGGGTGCATTTTAGGAGTAGGATGAATTCAGGTTAGCTCAGGGAGGACGTGAGGCTGTGTGTGATGAGTGTGTCTGTCACCTCTCTCTGCAGATGTCCCTGAGGCAGGCGGCCCGGCACAAGAGCTGCTCCCACTGGGCCTCCTGCCCCCCCGGCCCCCCGGAGTCCTGCTGGCCCAGGAGACGCTGCAGCTCCGGGTAGACTCGGTCCTTCAGAGGCAAACACAGAGAGAAGACAAATGCATATTTCTGAGGAGCTCGGGATGAAGAAAAGTGACAGTTCTGATGAAAAGAAACCTGTTTTTTCCAGAGAGTGGTCATGAGACGCACGGCGACAGCCCTCAGCCTGGGAGAGCTGGCCAGCATGTGGAGGGTCTGCAGCACCAGGGGGACACAGAGCTGGAAAACCATCAAAACACTGTGGTTATACACAACGAAGGACAACGTGATTACATTTGGACGACGTTACAAGCCGAATCTTGCTCATTGTGAGGTTGGACGTTGTACCTTGTGAGTCCCAAGGTTGGGTAGGCAGTTAAGCACAGCATGAGCCAGTTTGGGGTTCTTTTCCTTTGCCAGTTTGAACAGCAGCACCGAGAGGAGGGAGGGAACCTGGACACACACAGGGGGTTTCGGCTTAACAAGTACCTTCAACCTCTTGGTTTGGAAGTGCAGAAGACAACTGACAAAAGACAAAAGATGGAAATCTGCTTTGAGTGTGAGACCCAAAGAAAAAAAGTGTCTTCAAATGTCTTTTTTGTTGTGATTTTCCATGTATTTAGACCTAAAAAAGAACATTAGAATTTAATTTTTAAAAAAAATATTTTTAATTTTAATTTCATAGCATGCCCACTGTGGAGGACAACAGGACGGTTTGCATGGGAAAATAGAACAGGCTTTAGATAATTAAATAATAAAAAAGAAGAAGTCTTGAAAGGGATATTTGCCTAAGAACTCTTAGGAAAAAAGTAAAGTTCCCATTATGCAAACCTATCACATGGCACATCACTGGAAAGCCCAGGATGTGCTCTAGAACACTATAGGGCTTGATAGGGTAACTCCAGATACTTAGGGGGGGGTACAGGTGGACAAAATGTCCACTATAATGGACATAAATGAATGGGCCGGGTCTCAGGAGGATAAATCATGGATATGGATTTGAGTTTTTTTACCCTCCTGACTTGAAAAGAGCTCCATGGCACTTCCCAAAAGATATTTCAAACTCCTCTTAACCAGAAGCCTGTCAGAAACCTGCTCTGTGTAATAACCACTCTACTTCTCACCTTTAAGCCACTTTGAACAGTATCTGCCTTGTCACTGTAATTCAATGAACACACACACAGGGAAGTAGTGTGTGTCCCCCCCCCCCCCCCCCCCCCCCCCCAGCTTACCACATTTTTTACAGATGATACAATTGACCTGTACCAGGCTGTGATGCACCTTGTGTGGAAAATCTCTTCTTCCGGCCTGTCATCTTTGGTAAAGCTCCATCCCTGTTTTCCACCCACTCAACCCTTATCGGGTTACGGCTCTGACTCCAGGCGTGAGCAAAAGCCGTTTCAAAGTTGCTTCCATAAAAGAAAAAGAGAGGAAACGAGTGCGCTCTGACCTCCCTCCTGTGTGTTGTGGCTGACCAGTGTGCATGAACAACGCTATATACACACAACGCTGTTTCTGAGGAGCTCTGCAGAGACTGCCCAATTCAAATATACTGTTTATAAATGCTGCGTGGTTCAATGGCCAATTATAAAATAAATAAATAAGGCATTAAACCCCAAACAGCAACTCCATATCCTGGTTAAAACCCATTTTTATATGAATTGGTCCTGAATATATTGTCTTGAATATTACTGGCTGCAGTAAGCTAAAGAGTTGATAAAAATGACTGAACCAGGTGCTACAGTCTAAGCAATTGAAAAGCCATTTGAAGCAGGAAGAAAGTCGGTTTTATAATGAATGAGTCTTAATGAGTCATTCTCAAACCCTGCATGGTGCTCATTGCACAAGTGGAAGTATATTTTTAACGTATAGAAGTAGAATTCAGAGACCAAGTGTGGCTATTGCAACGTTGTAATGTATTAGTCCTAACTCAGGTCTTTGCTAATCATTTTCCTACACTGTGATGGTGAAATTATGCCCATGCCACAGAAATGGGACACAGTGGCACTTTCAAACTGTTTTTAACAGACTTTTTCTGTCCTCTTTTGTCAGTTGGAGATTCCAATCTACAAACAAACATTTCCTCTCTCTGTAAACTCAGAAATGACCAAAATTTCAGTGTGTGACATTTGGACATTTTGAAGATAAATCATGTGTTATCATGTGAAACCTGTTTAAATGTTTGAATTAGCTGATTGTAGCTGATTGTGTCCCGATTCATTTCAATGACAAAAAGTTCGGAATAAAAAAGCTGAATATCTTAAGAATAAAAAGAGTTTAGAAAAAAAAGGAAAAGTCATTCTGCCCGTATCCAGAACAAGTTGGATGTTACAAATTAGTCCATAAATGTAGATGAGAACTAAACAGAAGAAGGACCACTACAGTGTGAGGAGTGGACAGTAATAAAACCCAGAGCAGAATGGTCAGAATGAGCACTGAGCTGCTTCCTTCGGCTGTGAGTGTAAAAACGGGAAAGAGCCGGGGTCCTTGGTCACACAATGGCTCTGCAGTGTAACAGCCTTTAATCAACATAAAGCACTCACTCCTACCACGCAACTCCACGGTTGCCTGGCAACCACATCACCTGCGTGGTTTGAGAGCCAGAAAGGCGCGCACAGAAGGAAATTCAGTTTTTCCTTCAATATAGTCACCGCTTCTAAACTTAACCATCCCCTTTTAATCAGTACTTGTGAAAATGAGAGCTGCTCTGGGCCTCAGGCGGCAGCTTTGTAATTAGCATGTAGCAGGTAGACCCCAGGTAAGCAAATCCACCGGGTTCACGTGGGCCAAAAGCCACATCCAGCAGGCACTTTGGGAGCAATTAGAGCAGCAAGGGGACACTGGCAGGCTTCCTCCAGGCCCGTGTAATGAGCCTCTAACACCATGAGGCACTTCCTCACAGCTCCCGGTGACAGCCACTCCATTTACGCTCCCGGGAGGGCCGAGGACAGCCTGTCAATTCTTCTCCTCACACACCTGCAGAATATTCAGCAGCCCAGGCAGACCGGATAGACTCTGGTATTGTTGTCATCAGTTCATGTTTGTGATTATTGTTTGTGTTGTTTTTAACCAATTTATGTTGACCTAGAGTGTCCAGAAAGGGGCCTTTTAAATCAAATGTATTATTAATATAGTAAAAATGTGCAGAAAATATTGACTTTGATGTTAAAATAAACAAAAAGACATGTGTATTGGATTTGCTTGTTTTTTAAACATATTGTTAAAGAAACAAACACTTCAGATGAAAATAAAAAGTTCATATTTGTATCAATTTTTGGTCGGGTCAGATCACAGTGTTTGTGATTTGGGGTTGCTTCATCGATTTGGGTCCAGATTGTCTTGAAAAATAATTGTATATCCTGTTTAAAAGTCCTTCAAAACAATGTGATACAATTTGGCTAAAAGTTGAAGTGTAAATGGACCTTTAGCATGATCATAAACTTCAGTACAATTACAAACCCACCACGCAATGGCTACAAAACTCAATAAGTAGGGTTACGGAATGGAAAATAATCCTATTGACTTCAATCACACCAAAACATTTTAGAAACTTATTTTAAGCAGAGAAACCCCTCAGACATTTAGCAAAAGTTGGACTTGTTCATTGAAGTGTGGCACTACTTTCAGTGAGGTTACGGTGGTTCTCAAAACACCCGTAAGATATTCAGCTAAATAAGACATCATCATCTTCTGAGGAAATGGTGCATTTAACCCTTTAACGCCTGATACAAGAAAAATAGGAAGAATGTTGGATTTTTTTAGTCTGAAGTCTTTCTTTGGCCCCTCAACAACATATGAAGAAAAAAAAACAGAAATTATTTTGATCAAATTAGCGTGCAATAAGTAAAAAATCTATGTTGGTGTGGTCTTCTACTGGCTGTTATCAGGTATATCTGAATGTGTTCAACAGGGGTTTGAGCAAAGCTTTTACCACTGAATGATGCAGAAAGTCTCAGATCCAAAAGACTTCAGAAACCGTATGTATCAAATATAATACATTTGGCATTATAGGGTTAAAACATACTTTTGACTCCCTCTGCAAAGCGATGTTTTTGTTGAATACATTATTTCAGTGTCAGAGGGGAACTTTTTTTTCTTTTGGCTTTGTTTACGTGCCACCTAAAGGTACAGGCATTAAGGGAAAGATGCTATTTTTAATAAATGACAGCAGAGCAGGGCCTCAGACGCTGAAGGATTGAGGGGACAGTTGTGGGGGTCATCTACCTGGCAGGGGTCAGCAGCAGCGATGGCCTGGCCGGCGGTCAGAGCCAGCTGGCAGACGTCCTCCTGGCCAGTGATGATGAGATGAGTCACGACCAGAGAGAGGGAGGGGGGCGGGCGCTGGCCGGGGGACAGGGCAGAACGAACCGCCAGCAGCCAATCGGCCGCCGCCACTGGATCCTGGGCCAGTTTACGCAGGACGGACAGAGCCACGGTCAGCTCACTGTGCCAGTCGCTGACCGATAGAGCCAGAGCTGGGCCAGGCTGAGGAAACAAGGCAGGTTTAAAAACAAGAATCACTCATTAACACACAGTTACATGAGCTAATAATCATAAGTCATTCAAAAATAAATGTCACGGCCTTTTACATTTTCTTAACCAAGTTCTTTAAATCCAAAAAAAAAAAGGCCGTCGGTGGCAACAGGTGGGTTTTGATTTAGACGCACTTGCTTTATTTCTTTGTAAAATTATAAGAAAATAACAAACAAAATTCCATTATATACATATACTATCTTTGTGGCAAACTTCCCGTCATCACACCTGACATTTCCCCCCCCAAACCACAACCCCTGGCTGTTTTAAGTCTTCCAAATTAATGGGAGGAGCTTGGAAAATTACTCAATAAATCCCAACAATTAAACTAAAAATGGTTCTTTGCAAATTAAACATTTCAACTACCTAAAATTAAACAGAACATGTGAATGACGAAAAGTTTACTTAAATGGCCACAACAAGAAGAAACACCAGTGAAGAAAATAAAGGAAAAGATCCAATCTAAATTTGCCTGTTCGTTGACTTTGACTGGCTCATTGATTTTCTGGTTATTTTTGCTCTTTACAGACCCAGCCTGTCATGGTAGCTGCTTTTATGCTAAATCAGGATGACAATCACTGGCTGATAGCAATTATTTGGCATATAACACTCATTTTTGTTTAGATCTAGGTGCCAGGAACGAATACTCATTTTTTCCACTCTTCTCAGTAATTTCTTATTTTTTAAATTAAGATCATATTAACATCTTAACTTTTTTTCAGGGAGGTTAGCCATCATGCAGCTTTATAAACATGTTGTATACGTTTTTGTATAAAAACGTCAAACGTTAAAACTACCTGGACGCCCTCTTAGAGCCCCATGTCACCGCTCGCCCACTCCCTTTCCCCAGGGAGCGCCAGCTAACACGGCCATGTTAATCTGGACTCCTCTCATCTTTGTTTCCACGCTGGTGGAACGACGTCACAAGCACTATCAGAGCATCAGATTCCCTTTCCTGCTTCAAAAATCCCTGAAGACCCAGCTCTTCTGAGAGTATCTCTTGTCCTGAAAGCTTTAAATGTTTATTTCCTGATAGCATATAGCACTCAATGCGTGGTACTTGTGCAATCTATGTCAGAGTTGAATGATAAATGCTGAATGTTAAATCCTTTTCAAGCTTATTGCACTCATATAAGTGTGGAACTGGGGTTGGAGCTGAATACTAAACCCTCTTTTTGTCAGTAGTTTTGGATAAAAACGTCTGCTAAATGCAGAAATGTGAACGTAAAAGGCATTGCTGCATTTCTGCATCCGTGGCTGTTCTGGCTCCTGCTGATTGGTTGATAGTGCTTGATCAATCAGTGATAGGATGAGCTTAGTTAAATCAAGTGATCACATTTATTCCCTCATAGCAGAGTGATACCGAAGTCAGAATCCCAGATAAAAATCTCAGTTATTATTATAACTCCAAAGAGAGAAGCAGATCCGTAATTGACAAATGAGATCGGAATGCCTTTGAGACAGGGGTGTGGGTTTAAAAGAGTGCTAGAAATGGGGGAAACCAATATTTCCCTTAATGCAAATAGGAAAGATATGGATAGACAGAATTGAGTCACCCCAAATGTGGTTTCATCTTATAAGTCAAAGTACCTTATAAAAAAAAAAAGAAATGTCTCACTTTTCCTACGATAAGACGGTTACCTGTGGGACTTGTTCTGCAGGTTTGGTGATGCTGCCCAGCAGGCTGTGGGCCAGCCTGTGGTTGAGGCTGTGCGTCCTGTGGTCAGACAGCGGCTGGGTGAAGCCGGAGCAGGACAGCAGCTGCAGCAGAGGCAGGGCCAGGACCGGACTCAGCCAGGGGGACCACCCCTCTTTTTCAGGGACTAAACTCAAAGCTGTGTCAAACCAAGAGGAGGAAACAAAAGGCCCATGAGATGACAGGGGATCCGGACTAAAACTTTTCCACCAAACTGCCCGCTAAAAGGGCCTCACACTACATGTTTTCATGTGTTCAATACAATGTGGTCAAAAAACAATACACAACTACAAGGCTCAGGAGTACTTTGGAAAATTCTTTAGCCCTGAACACCTTCCACCAGACGCAACCTCCAAGTACTGATCAAAGAACTTAGACACACTTAATGAGGTGAACCATCTACACACATTTCCCTCCACGTGATCAGGACGCAATAGTTTGACTTAAATCAGACAAATCTGTTCATGTGTATTTTAATAGTTTAAAGGTTTTTTTATGTTTAAAATTTTCACGAAATTACATTTCTATATTGGGAATATTGTGGTACAGTTACTTTACAATATTCATGTGTTCTGTTATGATAAAATTGTTAAATGTTTAGGATTTATTAAGAATCTGTCCATATTACTTATAAAACAAAATCCTTATATGATATGGTTCCTACTATTAAACATATTTACTGCCACTACCTTGCTAGGTTAGCTCAGCTAAAAAAGAAGATTCATTTCGACTACAGGAAATTCTTGCCTATGAAGATCTCTCAAATAAGAAACAAAATCCACAAAGAATCATTTGTGAGTGCACATCTCTTTTTACCCAGACTGAGCAGGCTGCTCTGCTGAGCGGGCGGGGCGTCCAGCAGGAGCAGGCCTACGCCCAGCAGCAGCTCGTCCACGGGCGCCTCCTGCAAAACACGTTTAGCTTCACAAACCGGATGACCAGCGGATGACCAGCGGCGATCCCAGATCCACCACCTGACCGGACGCTGCCCGCTCACCTGCCGGCAGGTGGGCAGCAGCCGCTGCATCAGGTTGAGGAGTGGACGGCAGTCTCCGTTGAGCTGGAGGCATCGCCGGCACGCACACAGCAGCTGCACGAGCAGCCCCGCCCTCTCGGTCAGCCGGCAGGCCCCCGGAGCCTCGGTCAGGGGCTGGACGAGGGTCTCTACGAACCCGCAGAGCTCCAGCACTGCCTCCACACTGTCCAGCTGCAGGGAAACACACACACAGCCCAACCACAGCAAACCACGTTTCCCCTATGAGCCTATTGCTTAGACACACACACAAATATATACACATTGTTATATATACCCTCCTGAGACCCGGCCCATTCATGTATGTCCATTATAGTGGACATTTTGTCCACCTGTACCCCCCCTAAGTATCTGGAGTTACCCTATCAGGCCCTATAGTGTTCCAGTGATTTGCCATGTGATAGCTTTGCATCCTGGGAACTTTACTTTTTTCCTAAGAGTTCTTAGGTAAATATCCCTTTCAAGACATCTTCTTTTTTATTATTTAATTATCTAAAGCCTGTTCTATTTTCCCATGCAAATCGTCCTGTTGTCCTCCACAGTGGACATGCTATGAAATTAAAATTAAAAATATTTAAAAAAATAAATAAATTGTAATGTTCTTTTTTAGGTCCAAATACATGGAAAATCACAACAAAAAAGAAATTTGAAGACACTTTTTTTCTTTGGGTCTCAGGAGGATATACATATATATATAAAATGTCATTTTCATTTCATTCCGTTTATTTTGAAACATGATATGATTTTATAATGTTTACATAAAATGCTTCCTAAACATGCATCATATTTAAAAAAGGAGCAGGATGAAGCATAAGCTTATTAAGCCCTACCCCTCAGTTACAGGACGATTACAGTAAGACAAACAGTATAACTTTTTATGTATTATTCTTTTTTGTATTCGTCAAAAATACTTTTCTTATATTATTTTTTGAATTGCTGGATGCTATTACATTGTTTAATATTTTCAGGCAAGCTGTTCCAGAGTTTCACTCCACTAACTGATAAACTGAAGGTTCTTTTTGTTGTTCGAACACACTTAGTTTTGAAATTGAATTTTCCTCTTAGATTATATTTTCCATCTCTATCTGTAAACAATTGTTGTATGTGTGCAGGAAGTCATTCATTTCTTGCTTTATAAAGAATTTGAGCAGTTTTGAAATCGATCAGGTCTACAAATTTGAGAACTCTTGAATCCGGGAATAAACAGTGAGTGTGATCTCTATAATGTTTGTTATTCGTTACTCGTATTGCTTTCTTTTGCACAATAATCAATGGTTGAATGTCTGTATTGCAAGTGTGGCCCCACACTTCAACACAATAGGTTAGATAGGGCTGAAAAAGTCCAGATATTGCCAGATCTGGGCTTTACCTGCATATATGGAACCAGCGTGCAGAGGCAGAGCAGCATGGACTCGGACACGGCCGAGGACTTGTCGTTTAGGGGGTCCGGTCCGGTTCCCTGCTGCTTGGTCAGCAGCACTCTGAGCAGGCCCTGGCGCAGAAGAGCGTGCTGGGGCTGCCTCTGGGGCTCACAGTACAGGTACCGGAGGAAGGGCGCCAGCATGGCGATGTAGGACGTTTTGTTCCTGAGGTTTATGAACGCATAAGAGGCACGTCAGAAACTCTTTAAGAAAACCAGCTTTAATCAGTTAAAACATCTTAAGTCAAGTTTAAGCTTTTCTCTATAAAAAATTCCATAAAGTCTTCATCTTTAAAAGCAAAACGTGACATTGAGATTTTCTGCATGTCAGGGTCAGTGGTGGGAAGTAACCAAGTACAAGTACAAGTACTTCGTTACTGTACTTAAGTACAATTTCCGTGTATCTGTACAGTAGATTTAATAATGGATACTTTCTACTTTTACTCCACTACATTTAACAGTAAGTATCTGTACTTTTACTTCACTACATTTCTATACAGCGTTTCGTTACTCATACATCCAAGACGCATTTGGGTTTTTTGATTTGTTCGTTAGTTTGAAAGTATCCAATGGCGAGAGCAGAATCAGTCCGCTGAACCAATCCAAAGCGGGAAATAACCATTAGGCCCTCCCTCAAGAAGAGCAGCACAGTACCAGGACCTGCATAAAATATCTAAATCTAAACTGTCACAGGGGGTAAACACAATAAAAACATGCTTTATCTGCAGCATTGCTCATTAAAATGGTACATTACTGATTTATTCAAACTAAATACGATAGGTACACTTAATGACATTATATAAGCCGTTAGCTATTATGGTTGGCAAGTACTTTTACTTTTAATACTTAAGTAGTTTTAAAAGCTTGTACTTTCTTACTTTCACTTAAGTAAAATAATAATGTGGTACTTTGACTTTTACTTGAGTACATTTTTGTCTGTGTATTTGTCATTTTACTTAAGTACATTGTATGAGTACTTTCTCCACCACTGGTCAGGTTCGTATGATGAGTTGGGTGCTTTTCACATATGCTTTTTAGATTCAAACACTGAGGGCCTGAGTGATTGGTGGGTGGGTTCGGGGTCACCGTGGGGGGGCCGTTCTTGCCTGTCATCTGCCTGCCGAATGAAGTCATCAATCTCCAGCAGCAGGGCGGGCCAGCAGTCGGCGCGGTTCTCCAGAGCCGTGATGTACGGGTGAGGCCGGAGTCTGCAGGGGGGAGGACAGCCGAGTGGTCATTAATAGCCAAACGGTCCAGTTCAGCCAGAGCACGCTGACAACCTGCATTAAGGTGCGGACATTCAACAGTTAAACCTCCAAAAATATGCTTCTGATTATCTTCAGCTAATATTTAGCTTCTAAAACTTTTAAAAATGTCATGGTGACATTGGAAATGAGCCTATCTATCAAGTGCCATGACATCCAGACTTGGGCTTCCGCGCTTTTTTTTCTTTTTTCTGCTGTCCTCATATCAAATTGGAGCCAGCTATCATTTTTGGTACCACTTCATTCACAGTGGGGAATTTTCCCCGAGCCCCTTCTTATTTCATATTTCCACTGGATCATTACAGACCTCCGTCATCTTATGTTTGTACCAAAAAATGGAAAAATGTTGCAGTTTCTCAGTCAATTATCTTTATTGCAGTTCTTCAGGTGACACTAAAAGACTATGACACACTGTTGCACACCTAGATTTAGAATTTCATAACTTTGTGTTAGATGAGCTAATAACGTTTTGTCCCTGTGAGTCAATATATCTGATTAGATGTTGCATATGAAAACAAATGATTATCCATCCAGTCATGTTATGCAAATGACTACTTAATGAATTTGATGTAGTCTAATGCAGTTTTTAATATTTCTTTGCTATGGATACTCATTTTCATTCATGATAAAAATAGGTTTTTTATAACCCTCATGCTGACAAACTAGATTTCAAATGGTTAAACTTAATTAAAGTTTATGGACTAACAAGTATCTAATCTCTTACATTTAAAAGTTTTTTACTGTGATATATTGTAAATGTCAGACGGTTTTGACATGTTGTCTAGTTAAGATCTTTTACCACCATTCTACTGTATAACATATCAAAAAGCAGTCACTTTTTTCATTTAATAATTAGGGCAAAAGATGTTTTCATAACCTCTGACCCTGCAAAGCATTCTTTAAGTTGATCACTGTGCCAACAGTCAGGGATTCATCATTGTGTTCTAACAGGTGAGTGTTCATATCTGCCATTGTTAATAACTAATGTTCTCCAAAAATAGACGCATTTACAACCCAAATTCATTCTCCCTTTAAAATCCAAATTATTTTCAGACATTAGAATTGATGTTAAAAACACATGTTTGTACCCCACAAGCAGAGGTGGAGGGTGTTCATGCAACTTTATCTAATAAATGTACATTTTTCAACAGTTTTACACCCCTTCTGCATCCTGTTTTTATTGTTTAACATACATGGACACTTAAAAAACAGGACATTTAGCTATCATCAGCACCGCTCCAAGCACTACCTCTCCTTTACCTTCCTTTCCTTTGAAGAACAAACAAAGAACCTTTGTCAGTCTGCATTTAGTGCAGACAAAACACTGAGGTCAACTCCAAGTTGAAGAGCCGGCGCGTTATTAGGGCTCCAGTCCCAGAAGGCTGGGGTTATATCAACACCTAACCCATTTGTTAAATCCCTCATTAAGTATCCAAATGGAGGAAGGAGGCTCTTGGACTGAGCATGTCTGTGCATGCCAATGACCGCAACGCTGCCCATCCAGCGGTTTCTGCCTAGTCCTGAAAGGTGTAATCTGCCTGACCATCACGGTTCAGGCTCCCCGCGGCTGTTTCCAGCCCCTCGCCTTCATTATGGCTCCCATCCATCAGCCATGGCGGGGCCCTCTACTTTTCAGCTGTCACACAGAGGAGGAAGTCTAGATGGACGGCTCTTAGTCTGACTCCAAGTTCACCAACGGGGTCGAGTAACATTGAGCCATGGTTCTGCTCGAGGTTTCTGCCTGTTAAAAGGAAGTTTTTCCTTCCCTGTGTCGCCTAGTGCTTGCTCATGGTGGGAATTGTTGGGTTTCTGTAATTAACTCCAGAGTAAGGTCTGACCTGCTCTGTTTGGAAAGCTGTGAGACAACTGTTGTTGTGATGTGGCGCTATATCAATAAAATTGAATTTAATTAATTTTAATTTTGTATTGTCATTGTCTGAACGTCGTTGTTTGATCTTCCTGCCTCAGGGCGACAGATGTAAACTAGCAACTATGCTATAATCTGGCTCATTTACAATCTGTATGAGATTGTTCATTAATGTGCACTGTCCTGATTAAATAAATAAATAAATAAATAAACATGGAGCTGTTGCTGCCTGGAGATGTTTCTCTGGCTTTTTTTGCAGTGTACCACAGGCTGAGCTCACTTACCAGCAGGACACTTCAACATACGCAACAAAGATCCTTTAACTAGATTTATAATTAAATAGGAAATTGGGAATGATGGAGCCATTAAAGTCCTGTCACATTGACAGGTGGAGTAGGGAGCTAACGAACACAGAAAATATTGAAGACATCCTCTCATTAAATAGATAATGAAAGCCTTTTTGGGAAGGCGCTCATAGAACCTGATCCAGCTCAGCTCCTACGCACTCTCCCTCCCACTCCATTTGAACATTTCCACGGTGGTTTCTACAGCAAAGGCTGCTTCGAACCAACCTACATATACTGAGGAGGAATCCTTACAAAGATAAGAAGCCGCACGCCAACCTATCTGAGCTCCATGCCGTTTCTCAAGCTAAACGTGCAAGGTTGACTAATTATTTCAGAAAAGAAAAAAAAACACATATAAAATGATCATAAATGCCACAAGCACTAAAAATAGTCAATATTTTCTCCAGAGGTCTGTACATCTTTTCATGATTACCCATAACATCTGGAATGTATTTAATTATTGTCCATACCGCTCATTTGTAGTAGGGTCATGTACGCCTAGAGGCAGTTTCGAGTGTCCAAAAATCTCTAAAAAATTAATGTTGGAGATTTGAAAATGAGAATAAACTATTTTTTATGTTGGTTTAAAAATGTGTACATGATGTAAATTGGCAATAGGGCGTAACATAAACCAACAAAGTCTAGCAAAATCTAAAGAGATTACCGCCGTTACAAATACAGAAACAATAAGAAACACAAGCTCCATGTAATCATGAACACAACACAATCTTGTTCATTCCTCCCTTGGCTCTGTGCAAGGTGGAAATCAAAGGAGTTCCAAGCTGTGGTTCATCATTCTTGTAATAAAACCAAATTCCCATGTTTACTCCTGACATTTACTTTAGTTTTTTATATCATGACTAACAGCGAATACACAACATTAGAATGTACTCAGCAGTGTTTTCATCCACGTTGTGTTATCCATGAGAGCGTGAAACATCATTCTTAATCACCTCTCTCTTGCAGGAACACCTTAGGTTAGCATCCCTGTTCTGTTTCAGACAGTTTGAGCACCAAACATGGTGTCAATTCAGGGATTTTTGGCTTCAAAATAAGAAACAGTGCTTCAGGAAGAACAATACATCATTCTCCACCTCAACTTAATTTTTTACCATGTGAATTGTTCAGGTTTTTATTAGAATTTATGGTCTTTCCAATGAAGAGGCCAATATTTTATAATTCAAATATGCCAGTCGGGAGTCAAGCAAGAAACTAAATGCTAATTTAGCCTGACATCACTAAGGTGGCAGAAGTCAGTCCATTTTGTATTTTGATGTCTCCATCATTCTGTGAAACGTCTGTTGGTGACCTTATTCATCCAAATGACAGTAACTTGTACTGCTACATTAGATTAGACAAGCCAAAAATATCAACAGAGATATTTCAGAATCCCATTAGGACAGAACGATGAATCGATAATGCTTCATCTCTTCCAGGGCGGAGTTTGTTTCACTCTAAAGGTGGTGATCCCCATCTCAGTGTACCTGAAAGGCAGGGAAAGCTCCACCACAACAGCCAGACTGGCTCACTGAGGAACGGGACACAGCCCTGGTCCTCCCCTGACCCTCCCCTGACCCTCCCCTGGTCCTGCCGGGGGCTGAAGGGCTCCGGGTCTCAGTGGCAGATCGCTAAGGGCTGCTGCGCGCGGACGCACAACAATGGGCACCAGTGTGTATCCGCCATTAATCCGCCAGCATTTCCAGTCAGCCCCCAGTGCCAGGCCGGACGACCAATGGCGGGCCAGACCGCCAGGCCAGTGGCGCCACCCTGCTGCCCGCCGCACATTCATCCTCCCACCAGGGAGGTTCCTCTAGCAGACAGACGGACGGAGGAGACAGCGATGAAGACGGAGGGAGAGAGAAGGACAATGGGGAAGAATAGAGATTCAGAGAAGGGGAAGCTTAGACTGAGAGGTATTTTTAACTCATTGGCTGCTAAAGACGTCTATAGAGGTCTTTTATGTTTTTTAACGAGAGTGTCTGGGGGACGATCTGCTAAAGTTTTTCCGTAAATATGGGCTTCTAGACAGAGTATGTAGTAACAAATTGACCCTCTAGGGGGCAGTGCCACTTTTGATGGGAGATGAGCATAGACTGTAGGCAAATAAGAAAAAGGGAACGGTTCTATGAGAGAACATGTCGCCGGTGAGACGCAAGTCCAGGAAGAACGGAATAAGGTAGAAACACATTTTTTTTCCTGATGAAAGAAGAGAGTCTACTCTTTCTTTTGGTGTGTTCGGTGTTTACATAGTCATAGCACAAACTATTCTGTGGCTCTTGAAAAATCAGTCAAAATGCTAAAAAAACTCAGTATGGGACTCTGTTCTGAAAATGGCTGCCAGTCAATGAGTTAAAAAGGAGAAACAGGTTTTAGAGACAGAGAGAGAAAGAGCGGGGGGGCAGAAAAGAGAAAAAAAAAGCTTTTTTTGACACAGGTGCTGATCTAAGGCTGGAGAAGGAAGAGAAGAAGAAATGAACAGAAGGAGGAGGAGAAGGAGGAAGATGTTCAGAGCACCCCTGAAGTCACTGATGCCCACTACCTGCCCACTGCACTTTTGACCGCCACAGGTCAAAGGTCAAAGCTAAAGAGGGAAGTCTGTGTCAATGACATGAAGTTAATACTTTAGTCATCCCCTTTTGCTTGCTCGCCAAAGAAGAATCAGGACATAAAACATCCATCCATCCATTATCAATACCGCTTATTCCCTCATGGGGTCGTGGGGGGAACTGGAGCCTATCCCAGTGGTCAACGGGCGAGAGGCAGGGTACACCCTGGACAGTCCACCAGTCCATCGCAGGGCCACACAGAGACACACAAGGACAAACAACCACACACACTCACATTCACGCCTAAGGGCAATTTCCCCAATCTCCAACCAACCTAACATGCAGGTTTTTGGACTGTGGGAGGAAGCCGGAGAACCCGGAGAGAACCCATGCAGACACAGGGAGAACATGAAAACTCCACCCAGAAGGGTCCTGGTTCCCCCGGGATTCGAACCCAGAACCTCCTTGCTGGGAGGCGACATTGCTAACCACCACACCACCGTGCCGCGCTGCATATTAAACAATGCTAGCTAAAAAGAAAAAAGAATAAAAAAAGCTGAAATTCACAGTAAACGTATTAATATCAAAGTATTAGCGAGTAGATCCAGTACTAACGAGCGGAGTTCAACCCCGGCGCGTGCTTTTGGGCCGTGTGAGCAGCGACAGCTGGGACACAGACACGCTAAAGCACCTCTGCAGCTGCTGGAACCAGACTCCCCCGCTGCCGTTCTCACGCTGAGCCACAATCCTCACATAAGCCCCACGATTTGCCGTGATGGTGACGCGGTCCAGAGCCTGAGGGGGACCGGGGCCTTCACTATCTGGGCCTCTGCGGCTGGAAATGAGCCGGCCTGAGATCTGTTCCGTGCTAAATAAAGCAGCAGATAGAGCCCTGAGGGTTTACTATGCTGATGTTTTTCTGCTTTTACATTAGATGTAATGCCGTATTTTTAACTAAATTTAAAATACAAACAATCTGACATTCACAGATACACAAAACGCCAATTTTCCAGATCTGTGTCTATAGCACTTGGACGTGTAGCTGGGCTGGAGATTAAATTACCACCAATGAAAACCAAACCCTCTAAAGGGGGCACGGTATGAATCTTTTGCTCCCAAAGAAATCTGAGCCCTCAGATAACTTTAATAGCTTAATCGTTATCCGTAAAGGATTAAGATGAATCGTATCTGAAAGTTTTTATTACGCTGACTGCCAAAGGCTCCTCTCAACGCCAACAAAGCAGTAAACAAGCCGGTCTCAGCCCACATTTCTCATTTCTTTTATTGAATATAGAGTAGTGCCTCTGAGATTGCTGGAGAGGAAAGTAAAGAAACAAATGGAGCCTCAGAGGAAAAGCTTCCCGCTTTCCTTATGGATTCAAATAAATGAAACAGGTCAATAGATATTACATAAAGACAGAGACGGGACGTGGGAGATGGACTGACCTGATGGAAAATGGACAGGTGAAGGGTGTGTCCCCGTCCCTCTGGTCAGCCAGCATCTGCAGCAGCCGCCCGATGACCTTTATCAGCCCCTGGACATTTCTGTTCATATCGTAAGGAAAAAAAACATATAGAGGAGTTCATCATCCACAGAATATGAGTTTAAAAAAAAAAAAACTGTACTGTTGAAGATAAAAAGAGATAAAAAATGTTCCAGCCTCTGAAAAAGGAGGAAACACAGAACCTGGTTGGAAAAGTGCATTCTATGCATAATGGAGGCACATCCAGAAATCCTCTTTTACATAGTAGGAGAACATCTTTTCATCAGCTAACCTCACAGGAGATACAGAATATCAGAGATGTTTTATTCCTTCTCCATAAGTGTATTCCACTTGGTGTAAAACAGTAACTACACAGTTATTAAGGGTTAATAACCCTCCATCCACCTCATCTACAGCAGATGCTGCATTCACTGCAACTCTAAATAAAACTATTTTACGCTCTTTCTGTTCTGTTATTCACATTAAATTTCAAAATGACATACTTATTTAATCTAAGCGAAGAAATAAACGTGCACATGATACTCGTGGTACACGCAGCATTTTGCCTCACGAATACATTAATACCAAAATCGGATTTGTCAGAAAACAAAGTAGTACACAGTAGTACAAAACCATCAACAATCCCACTGACAAACCAACTTTTTCTAAAAAGAATATTTTTTGTGCCCGCAAGTGCAATAAGGCTAAAACTAATTCAGAAATCTTCATGGAAACATGTTACGTGTGTTAGAAGTTGCTTAAAACACAATAAAAGACTCTGAATTGAAATAAATGATCATGTCTGACTATGAATAATTTCATAATTTCATTATTTTCAAAGCTAAAAAGCTTGTATTCACTGATGAATCTCAAACTAATTGAATCAATCAACACTTTATAAATCTACAAAAGTTTGCTGCTTTAAAAGAAGTAATTTGTTACTGTTAAAATATGACGGGTATGACAGAAAGGAGCTAATGTGGATGTGATAAACCCCCCCCCCCTTTAGATGGTGCAGACTCCACTCTCCATCCCAGACTTTTAAAGGCTCTTGCTGTGCAGAAACTGCAGAAGCCGAGCCTCCTGAAGATGTCCAGTCTGCTCTGTCCTGCCCTGCCTGGACACGGAACAGCCTGGGTGTTCCATTTCGAAAACTCAGAGAGTAAACTGCTGAAAATGGATGCAAATACACCTGGAATTTTCTCGTTTGAATGAGCCCAGACTCTGAGTCATGCTCTGTGGAGTGACTTTCAGAGGGCTGTGTACCTGGCCTTCCAGAAACAGCTGTGGTCAGCAGATGACGGCTTGACCAGTGCAGAGCCACAGGTAACAGCGGCTCCTATGTTTAACCTACTGCCTTTAGGACCTCCTACTGGAGTCAGACAGGATGTAAAAGAGTGCATGAGCTTACAGCTGTGCACGGCTGTGCTGAGCTCACTGCTGGTGTGGCCGGCAACCCCACCTAATGACTGACCCCCACACGCCCGCCATGAGAGGTAGGGATGGGACGGTTTGTGAAACCCGTGTGAACCGTTGGGTTCTGTCTCGGTTGGGTTGGCGTGTGTTGGTTGGGTTCCTGCTACTCCTTTTTCTCAGAGGGAAGCGTTTACACTCCAGAGCAGAAGGGGGCGCTACTGCGCCCAAAGCCAACCACCAGTAGGAAACAAGAAGAAGAAGAAGAAGCAGCGTAGCCCATAAAAATCAGACCCAGCAGCAGTTTCTAGGTCTGCTGTATGGACCAGTTTGCATTTAGAGGGAAGCACATGTTGGAATTAGCACTGTTTCCTCTCCTAATGCCAGAATCTCACCTACTTTTAACCTAAGAATGTCACAATAATGTATCAAATGTCAGACTGCTTTTTTATTTCAGTTTTAACCTGACTATACAAGACATAATAGATTTTCCTAACAATCACCATATACCGAACCGAACCGAAAACCGTGACCACGGAACCGTGAATCAAACGGAACCGTGGATTTTGTGAACCGTCCCACCCCTAATGAGAGGAGATGGTTAACAAAGGTGCCAATGAGCCAAGTTTAACATGCCGACTGAGCCGTTCCAGTCCGGTGGGGTGGCTGAGTACTCAGTCCTCCTGCCTCTGCTCTGAATTTGAAAGCTCTGGTGACCCTGGCGTTACAGTGGCGCGTACCTGGCGGAGGGCAGGAGGTTGAGCACGCTGTTGAGGGTGTGCTGGAGGTCGGCGTGGCCCTGCTCCACCAGCAGCACCACGGCATCGCAGCAGGACGAGCGCAGCAGGGCGCAGTCCCCGCAGCACTGCTGCCACAGGGCCTCCAGCGCAGGGCCCTGAACGCACCACCAGCACAGCACAGCAAACACACTCACAGGTCTGAGCCGGCTCAGAATCACCATGTCTTTAAGACAGTGTTTTTCAACCTTTTTTGAGCCAAGGTACATTTTTTCATTGAAAAAAACCACGAGGCACACCAGCAACCAAAAATGTCAAACAAATCTGTATCTGCCTATAGTAACACTATAGTTATTCTTATCTTATCTTAAGTGTCTTGAATAGGAATCAAATAAACACAAAAATGTATTTTATATCATATTTTATATTTCGTCTTTCAAATTGCTCTTCATATGTCCACTTCAATATACAAAATGATATACAAAATCTAGTCATAAGGAATTATTACATGATTACTCCACCAGTCACTAGAACAGCACACACACTCAAAAATGGCACATTATCTGCAGATAATTAATTCCTTATCGAAAAATCTTTTTAGACCAATGAGGTGAAATAGGATGATTTTCTACGGCACACCTGACCATCACTCACGGCACACTAGTGTAGCGAGGGACAGTGGTTGGAAAACACTGCTTTGAGAAACTACATTGTTGCTGAACTCACCTGGCTGTGGGATTGGGCGATTTGCCCATTTGATCCCTTTTCCTTCAGCACGGCAGCTACAAGATGTCTCACCGCCTTGAAAAAGAGAGAGAGAGGGCACACAAACACGGCCATCAACAGACACAGGAGATAGGTTATGGTCAGGTGAGACTAAAGATGCAGGAGGGCTTGTTTTATGTACTGTAAACCTCTGAAATCTGCACTTTTTGAAATACTACCTTGAGTCAAGAGAGGTAACAAAAAGCATTCAGAGTCACCTGGGCTTGGATGACGGGGCAGGGGAAATCAAACCGAGTCTTCAAATTCTCCGTCATGGCTGCGGCTCATGCCTGAGAGCGGTCCCAATCCCTGTTATAAAGAGGTCACAACACCAAAGGGTTCAACATTTGACATGCAAGGAAAGCTTTTGGAGCCTGCTGACTGGCTGAGGAGAATGACATCATAGCTGAGCTGGGCTGCAGCAACCCGTGGCTAAACGGCACTAATGGACAGAACATTCCGGGTGTAGTGGCTAAATGTCCTTTCTTGGCTGGTGACCATTTCTTCTCTTTGACGAATGCAAATAACCACTCTTTCAGACGGAAAGAAACGAGTCTACGCGTGTTAAGGTTTTAACGACGGTAGAAAACGGTGTATTCACCCCGTCTTTACTGAACATTCTAAACAGACAAAAAACATACGTTTACATTCAACAAAAGCGCGAGCTCTGAACGTTATCGCTCAGCGTCAGTTTCTATTGGCTACTTAGTCAAGATCATTTTAAACATTAAAATAAATGCAGACTAAACTAAAATCAATTATAAATTAGCAAAGCAATAACTTAGTAAACTACAATCATAAATATTCTATGAAAACATAGAACCAAAATCATCCAAAATAATAACTAAACATGAGCATAAATGACTCCATAGAAAATGGCACCAACACCGGGTATGGCACTGTTTGGAGACATTTAGGGAAAACTGACTCCGACGGGCGTTATCAAATCAGTGGCCTACCAGCATGGCATTATTTTTCATCAATTATTTACGAGTAAACAGGGCAGCTTCCCGCTCCCATTAGCAGGTCCTGTCTTGGACTATAAGCCTTATGCTGGTGTCCACAGGCTGGCTGGAGCCTCAGCATGGAAAAGCGTGATCCGTTGACATACTTAAGGAGAGCGAAACACAAACAGGAAGTGTTGTCTTTGCTTTGGCGTTTGTTTGGCTGCAGACGGGGTGAACTGAACTCCAGACCTTTCACACTTTGCCTCCTCAGCTCATCTAACTGGTGTAAATCAGTCAAAACTGCAACTCATCCATTCAAAATGTTGGGGGATAAAGTTTCCGCCACTCTGCGATGCCGAAGCAAAGAAATGAAGCATGGGAATAGTGTTTTTATTTTTGGCAGTCTTCCCCTGAACGGTGCGGGTTCATCCATTCAATATTCCCCAGGAGGCAGGCCAGTCCGGGACCTGTCCTCAAGTCTGTGTCACGTGTTTGACATATCGTTCTGAAAAAGGCATGGATGTCCTCTTTCATGCTCCCACTCATCCGGCTCTCTAGAAACACGGCTTTGACATTTGCCATTTGACAATGCTTTGGCACAAGGAAGATAAGCCGTGCATGGGATAACCCCTGCCACCCCCTCCCCAAACACAGACGCCCAACCCAACCCCCCCTTTCTGTTATCTAACTGATAAGTCCGCCTGCTGCCCTGTGCTGTGCACCTCCCCGCTCCAGCGCTGGCCTCACTGGTTCCACTGCCACTCAGCTTCATGGCCACGTAGAAGAGGTAAGTCCCCAGCACCTGCTAATGCACATATTTGCTCTAGACGGACTCTAGACAGCACCAGGACTCACCAACTGTGGGTTTGAAGCAACGTGGCCTTATACTATTTCAACATATTGAATATTAGGAATCTACTCATAGAAGAAAGCATCTAAAATCTAAAGGTTTGGTTAGTTTGGTTTAGAAGTATCTGTTTTTACTTAAATCAAAATGCCATCAGAGGTCTTCTAAATATTTAATTTAGTAAGTTTATGCATCCAACAGTTCCAGCAGCTTCTACAGCATATTTACCTCACAGCCAAACAATATAGGCTGGCTTGTACTGCAAGCTCTGCATTAGCAATACAAGCCAGGACAAAGCAGCAACAGTGTTGAGCCAACAGGCGCTTTAGAAATAACCCCAGCGAGGCTTTAGGGTGGGACGCCCGCCGCTAACAAACTGCACACAGTACACTCTGGGCTTTCCATGCTTTTCACACACACACACACACACATTTATGTCTGAGCTATTACTCAGTGAAAAAAATAAACAAGTACAGAGAACCTAATCCTGCTCTGTAGTTAAGTATGACCAGGAAGTTTGTGGCTGTGTTTGTGTGTGGTTCTCTGTTTCCAGTACCTTCTCATAAACATATATATATAAATATATACACACACACACACACATTTATCTATCTATCTGAAGGGGGGCTGGAACCCTATTGCTGGGAGGCCACGGTGCAGTGCGCATGCGTGTACGTGAATCCAGTCATTGTAATACTAAATAACTTCATATAAAGTTGACTGATTTGTTTCGGGAACTAATCGTGTTTCTTACGCCGACTTCGTTTACAGAGCCCGGAAAGAGATTCAACTAAAAACCCTTTGTGAAAATAAGGCGACACTATCCTAACTTTATGATTTATTTGTCATTAAAAACAATAACGGGCTGTTAAATGAGCTGTAGTCAGGTTAGCCTGAAGCTGACCCGGCTAAGAGTCTATAACCGAGTTATCACCATGTGCTACTGGCAGCTTTAACCAAGTGAGATTTACTCATAATTTATGTTTACTCCAGCCTTCGTCTAACTCGGTTTGACTGGGTGACATAAATATCTCGCTCTTAACAACAGACATTGTGGATATTGCTAGCAAACTTTACCTCGGTCTATCGGTCTCCGGCAGAAGCGTAGCGCCACATGAAGTACGGTAAGTATTGAGGGCCAAAATTGTAAGACATAAACATAGCGCATTCTCTCAGTGTGTCAATGATGACGAGACTGAAGTTGAAATAAACTCTAAATATTGGACCATGACATACGTACACTGCAATATGGAGAATAATAATGTTAATAGTGCTTAACTGTGATGAATTGTTATTATTATTATTGATGTTTTCGCTGTCGTTTATTCATTTGACTTAATCAGTCTCAGTTTGTCATGTCAACTGTGCATTTGACAATATTTGGGGGGAAAAGAATTAACTGAAATAGGAATATATTATTTTTTTTATTGTTTCAAGTTAATGTCCATTTGGTGTTATCTATCTAAAATACCCATTCGATTGTAAACTTGCTTACGCTAATTTTATGGACAAATGAAAAGCTCAGATACCGAATTAAAACATTAAACGTCTCATAGAGTCACGTTAAATTGTCAAAATAATTGTTGGTTTTCCCTGGGGACATGAAGGCAACGTAATTACAGAAAGGTTGCGGCCACCTGATAGGAGACTAGTGTATCTGCTCTTCCCTTATTGGCTGATTGCATCTCGTGCTCTCTCTGCGGCCCCAGCGGGTACACCACGCTGCGCGTGCGCTTTATCCCTCAGACGCGTCAAGGATGTCGAATCAAGCTGGGAGGGGAACGGAAACAAGAAGATTTTACTCTCAAAATAAAAGCCTTGGCGTTTGAATTAAATTGCCCGGACGTCTTTAGTAACCCGCTCCCCCCAGTTTTCTACTGATAACCACGGTGTCACTCATTTCTTACAAAAGTAAAAAGTTGTGTTTGTTGCATATTTTGTTTAGTTTTCTGATCTTTTATGTTCTTCAGAAAGCGTTGTTAAATTGTTGATTGGAATCAAATGCATAGGATTGCATACAAAGTGGGAAAATGTAGGTTTCAGCAACAATAGCAACACTGCGTTAGGCAATGCGAGTGCCGCAAAGTGTCAAGAATGCACTCAATACTTGGCGTGTGAACTGTTTATTCACAAAAAGTCGTATGCAGAACGTTAGTTGATGTGTGAATGACTTTTTTTTATCTTTTATTTTTGTTCTTTTAAGTCGTGTGTTTTAAAGTCATTAGTCATTCATATCTGTAAGAGAGATGAAGGATTGACAACAACATTTGCAACTCATGTCGATAATGACTGCAAAATAAATACAGTAATGTGGTGCAAAAGTAAGCGGGCACCTGAAAATAATTGGGCGTGGATCGTGCGTGCTCCGGTAGAGCGGGCAGCTTTTATTTGTGAAGCACACACCGGAAGTGAAGCAGTTTATTGTGGGGAATTGACCGCCGGCGAGTCTTTGAAAGTCTTCAGTGTGACTTCAGTCCAGGAGAGACTATGTCCGCCGTCGTAGGCAAACTGTACTCACGTCTAATCTCATTTCAAATTAATTCTCCATGAAGTTACAGTAACGTGGGGCCTCCAGGATGGCCAACTCGGTGAGTACCCCGCCAGAGACTTTGCTTAGTCCGTCCGTTTTTAGCGAATTTTGGCCCCTTTAATTCGGCCGTTTGGTCACATCGAAGGGCTCGGTGCTTTTGCTCCGTTACGAGGATTTTTAAGCAGCACGGTTAGCTTCAGTCCGTAAGTGCCTGTTGTCAGCCAAAGGCGAGGTTCCGCGAAAAACCCTCGGACTTTAGATATTCAGCCGACAACGACTACACCCCTCTGTATTCACTGAATACTGTGCGGTTATTTTAGCTGGTTATAGTCCATCATTCAACTCGGCCGCACGGTCCACCTAATTTGTGACATGACTAAGCGCCAACATTTGGGACATGTCAACTTTCCCTCTCGTGCTATCCGTCTCGTGTAACAGCGGTTTTTCGTTGTCATAGAAAGTAAAACGTTGTAACTCACTGATAGAATAGAAGTTAAAACGTGCACAGATAGCGCCTGTGTTCAGGTTGCACTTTAAGGCTTTAAACAATATTTAGAAATGCTTGAGTATCGCTTGAATTTGGATTGTTGCATTTAAAATTCCGCCGTTTGAACCCATTTCAGCACTAGATTGTGCGCGAGGAAACAAAGCGCGAGTTCAAGTTAAAGTAGCGCCCCGTAGCCGGGAACGAATCCCGCTGTGTAGCTTACAGAAACACGGTCCATTTTTGTGTTTGCTGTTGTTAATTCGGTTGTTTGCGGCAGTTTGTGAGAACCGGCTGTGTGCTGTGGTCCCTCAGGGCGCTGTTCAGGTGAAACTGGAACTCGGACATCGCGCCCAGGTCAGGAAGAAACCCACCGCGGAAGGCTTCACGCACGACTGGATGGTTTTCGTCCGAGGGCCGGAGCACAGCAACATCCAGCACTTTGTGGAGAAAGTGGTTTTTCATCTGCACGAAAGCTTCCCGAAACCAAAAAGAGGTAAATC